TGGATCTACAATTTAATCCTTCTGATGGAATCATTGTTCCACCATATGCTAAAATAAATAATATATTAAATCATACATTAAACAATTTAGATTTTACGACGACGATCATCTTCTTTCTATAATTAAGTTTATTTTCCAAACTTTTAATATACAAATTCTTCAAATAATCTAATAACAACTGAATAATAAACATCATATGCCCATTTTTTATTTTAATGATTTTACATATGATTATCAAGTATTTTTTTATATTTTTTTAAACAATTACCCATTAATAACTTATTCCAAATGAATTCATGTTATTAAATATAGAAATCTTTGAAATTCATATTTTCTTCAGCTGTTAACATATATCTTTTATTCAATCCTCTGAAAAGATAAGAAATCCATTTAATACATTGAGGTTTTTCAATTAAATAATTTTATACTATAGATTCTGTCATTGTAAATAAAGAATTAATGTCTGGTTTTGAAGATTTAATCTTTTCAATGATTTCACAATGATCATCAGCTAATTAAATGAAAAACATTTCTGATAAAGTTGTTACTACATTTTCTACATCTTCTTTTATTTTATGGAATGTAGCAGTAGTCAATGTTTGTAAAATATTATGGAAATTACTTAATCCAATAAAAACTTTGGTTACTGCAGATATCAATTCTTCATCTTAATAAATCAAATGATCTTGTTCACATTTTCGAGATTACAATTTCATTTCTAATGCCATCCCTTAAGGTATTTAATAATTATACAAATCATGATCAAATTAAATAGGCATTTAATAATATCCTAAAAGAACTTATTTAACAATTGAATAACTATGTTAAATAGATGATTATTTAAATAAATAAGTAGCTAATTATTATTCCAATACATTTTATAATATCTCTACAGCACATCGTACAGTTTCAGTAAGATTTAATTTAAGAGATGATTATAATCCTTCTATTTAAACTTCTAAATATTAATTCCTTTTATAAGGATTATCAGTATGATTTCTTTTAATTTCAATTGGCCATTCTGATTTACGAACTAATGAACCTAATTTTGAAAGTATTTTCAATGATTTAAAAGATGGATCTAAAAATAAATTCACTTATTTTGAATAGATATCAGCCATCTTATATTCAGATGGGAAAGTAAGCAATTTTTCAATAAATGGTTATAATAGATCTCCAAAGAATTCTTTCATCTCTTCCATACTCAAATTAGTAACAATGTTCTCTAATATCATCAATGTTTTTTATATTACTTAATTTTCTATAGTTGATATATTATGTAATGCTCGAAATAAACATTATGCAAATATTGGATATTATCTTGCTAAATTAATTTATATTGTTTTTTATAATGGAAAATTAGCTATTACTTCTGCAACTATATCCTAAATTTCCACTATTCCTGTTTAAAATAATTCAAACATATTTAATACTATATTTACACCACTCATACTTAATCTATGATATAGTTCATATTATTATCTTTATATCATCTATTATTTATCATTTCTGTCATATTTATCACATAACTATTAAAAATATTTTGATAATCCTTCTCCTTGATCATTATTTTAGATTCTTTTCACTAATGATAATAATAAACCTAAAAAATCTATTGGATAATATGTTTCATGAGTTTTTTTTATAAAAAATAGAATAAGTTATTTTACTAATGGTTTAACTATTGGTTCTTCATTTTATTAGCATTTTACTCTTGGAAATTATCTTATTGGTATTCTAAGTAACTTTTATATTAAAGAGATATATTCATCTTAATCCTTTTATTAAATATTTATTTAATTTTTCATTAATTATCCACCTCTAATATAACCAAATTTTGTTGGTAATTCTGGAGTTGTTTGTAATTCTTTCAAATATAAATGTAATAAAAATTCTATATAATATTTTATTGATTGTTTATGAGGATTTTAAGGATCTGGTTATTAATTGAGAAATCCCAAATGATCCTATAATAATATAGGAAGACAATTGGTTTCTGGACAAGTTTTAATTAAATTGACAGAAATCTTCAATATTAATTTTGAATTAGGTTCAAATATATTTTTAAAATTAATTGGATCCTAAAATTAAATAAAGAATTGCATAAATTAAGATATAGTCTTTTTCTTATAATCAAGTATTTCAAAATGATTTCTTTAATGATCATGCAATTCATCAAATATCATTAATCCATTTTTCAATATTTTAGACATATAATGACATTATAAATTACTAAGATATGGTTTATTATCACTAATAACCTAAATAAATGGAGTAATTCTTGTAGGCATAGTATAATTAGTTCTATTCTTTTGCTTATTAATAATCTCTTTATTTGTACTAGTAACAAATATCAATAATTTCTATAAGATATCATTTAATTAATCAAAAACCTTTGATTTTAAATCTTTTGCAAATTCAACATATTAAGTATGAGTACTTATACTTAGAGAATTGATTTAGTATTCTTCTTCATCATCATAAGTATAAACTTGAGTAGCTGTTTAATCTTGTTGAGTAATAAGGTTATGATCAATATCTATTTCTGATTCTAATATATATTATTCTAATTATGAGATATAATTTTCATTAAGAGCATCTGGATTACTAGGTATAGAAGCAACATTAGTTTAAGGAGTAGTTTTTTTTGTAATTCCCCATCTTTATGTTCTAATTAACATTTATTTGATTTATTATATTTATTTTCTAATTTGATTTAATTTCATTCCTATCATAGAAAATAATCTATCAAGTAATTTATATTTTGGACTATATTTTGTAACTTTTTTAAATATTTTATCATTTTATTATTATTAAGTTTAATCTACATAAAATTATAGTAAATTTTTATCAATAAAGTAAGTTGGTTATTTACTAAATAAATCAAGAAATATTTTAATTAAATCTAAGGCTTTTTCATGAATTTATAATTGTAATGATGAATCAAACAATAATTTAAATATGGTATTAAAGATTTTTTCCATATATATTTGATTATTGATAAAATCAGTTTACATCTTTTCTAGATTATTCATTTATTAAGGAGATTAATCACTTTTTGGTAAATAACATTGAACAACATGTTTAACAATTTCTAACCAATTATGATAGATACTAGATTTTTGGAAAGGTGGTATTTTAAGATTTTTACCAACAATAGTTTCTTCATCTATTAATTCTAATACATTTGCATTAATTTCATTAATTTTATCTTAAATTTCATTTGGTTATACAGGATCTCTTTTTTAGATCATAGCTTATTTAAGACGATTGCTAATATCAATTCTTATATGCATAATGTCAACTGGACAATGTTTAAGTGTTTTAATGATTGTAGCTACAACTTAATCTAATTTAACAGTATCAGCTAAATCTTTAATAATTTTAGATTATGATTGCATTTATGATTCATCTCTTTTTATAGTAAGTGCAAATAATTATAAGAATTTAGAATATGCATTAAAAAGTTCTTAAACTATGTTTCTTGGTACTTTCTGTAATAAGTCTTAAAAATTGGTTTCATTTATAACTTAATTCATGGTTTTAAGTGCTCTCTTCAAGACTTCTCTCATTTATGTTTTGGTCTAGCTTTATTTTCTATTTTACCTCATCCCTGATAATAGAATCAAGGGCAAAAATTGTATAGATAAAAAATGGAGGAATATTGGTCACAAATGATAAACTAAAGATATTCAATCGAATGTCTTTTTCACGTTTATTATTATTATTATCATCATTCTCATGTTATAATACATATGTTTAATCATGAAATGCATTAATTTAATTATCTCCCATTAATTTCTTATATTATGATTTCTTTAACTCATTATTAAATTTCACTAAAAATTCAATTCTCTATTCAAAAAAATTGAATAATTTTAATAGTAATGCATCTGTAAATATACTATTCGATCTCTAATATTAATGTGATTGTTATTAATTAGTCTTTAGTAAATCATTCATAATTCGAATAGCTGTGGCTGCATTATTCTCATTATCCTTCTCTAACACTATTGTAAGTTAATCAACCACTGACTAAGTCATATGTTACAATAGAATCTTTTTTTAAAGTAATTCAACTGTAGCAGCTCTAACATTGAATTTCACATTACGACTTATTTGAGGCTCCACATTTGATAATACATAAACCACAAAGTTTAAACTATTCTCAATAAACCATTTTTGGTAATTCTGTAAATTTTACTATATTTCCATTAATCAATATTAATACATGATTTGGATCTCGAGTTCGCTCCGAATGAGATTCCTCTGAAATCCTGCTTAACCGATCCCGAATATCATATATATTACGTTCTGAAAAGCTTTCACTTCTATTTTATAAAAAATTATTCAAGGCTTCTTTTTGTTTCTCAAAATAAGCAGGGTCACTTTATGACATTTTTAATTTATTAATAATAATCAACATTATTTATATTTAAATATCCATTATACAAAAACTATATCTATTATTAAACATTACTATCTATTCATTTTCAAAAATATACCTTTATTACATTTAAACTAAAATGGACATTCTACATCAAATAAATAATCATAAACAAAATCAATATACTCATTATCTCTTTGATTTCTTATCTCTATTCTAATCATTTTCTTAATTTTTATACTCTACAAATACAAATAGACATTACTTTATAATAATTGTTAATTAATAATCATTCTTATATAGTAAATTTTTAATACCTTTAGTTTATATGGTAAAATCAAAATCTAACTTTTATAGAAATTCTTATTATATATAGAAATTATAAGACAAATAGAACTAATTTAGATTAACATTAGTAGTAGATTATAAAAATTAAAAAAAACTATAATCAAATCAAATAAGTTTTATTAATTTAATAAAATAAAGATTGAGTCTATAATCAAAAAAAGATTATTGAATCAATATCAATATACATAAAATATAAATAATAATACATTTATGTAATCTTATTAATTTTATAAAAAATATTTATTATTTCTTTTTTAATAAAATAATGGCAGACTTTTGGAAACCTACAGCAGATATGTATAGTGCTCTATTCGAAAAGCCAAAAATGTCATAGAAGTTACTTGAAAAACCTCCATTCAAATATATATTTGATATTATAATGGAGACATCTAAATAAACAGGTTTTACATTTAAATTTACTTTAGGCTACGCAAAAGGACTATATACAGGTGATGAATTTGATTCAAATTATTATCATCTTAAAGATAGAAAGATATTCTTTTTGCAAAAAATAATTTAGTTAACTTCTATCATTTTGGATGAAGAACTTTAGGCTTAACCTATTAAAATAGTTGCAGGCTTGGAACCAGAAAAAACAAATGTATTATTGTAAGCAATTTACAGAGCAGCTGTGAGTGGTAAAAATACTAATAGTCAAGTTGAATAAGTAGAATTTATTATATATATTTAGATTCTAGCTGCCATAGGAGCTGGTCCAATATTATAAGAGAAGGAGTTTGATCAAGTTTAATAAACACCTATTATACAATAAGTTAATATAAATTCTGTCTATAATAACTAGACAGAATTGATTAAAATGATTGACAAATAAAAATTGCATATTTAAGGATTAGAGTAGGAGTTAATATAGAAAAATAACATAATTGTCAACTAAGAATAATAAATTTAAGCATTAAAAAATTAATTACAATAAATTACCAATTCTGATATATTTCCTTTATAATTTTAATAAAGTATATAAAATGATTGATTAATATTATTGTTCATTCAGAATTTTCAATATTTTATAAATGTACAATTTATTATTCTGAATTAAATAATTTTGTTTGTTCTTGTGTTTTAATACACTGAAAATATAATAAATCAATCATTAGTAACTTTAAAAATAAAATTATCTAAAATTAAAAATAGATCTAAACATAAATTATATGCAACTAAAAATAATTATTCTGATCACCTTAAACACTATAAATTAATAGCTGAATGTCATTTTACAATCAATTCATTTTTATACATATGAATATATATTTATTATATATATTATATTTATAGATATATGGTCATATTAATATTTATAGCTTATATTTGTTCTAAAAGGATGTCAAAGTAATTGAATTAACAAAGAGATATTAAAATAAGAGTAGATAGTTTACCCTCAATAGAAGTAGTATCAAGTACAAAATCTAAGAACCAATTAAAAAGAATCTTTAAACACTCAGAACTTCCATTAGCCTCTTTTTAATCTCCTTCTGACTCAACTAGATAACATAGGAAATTAAAAATAGATAATTCAGATTATGCTATTGAATCTAAATAAATAGTTTCAACAGCTAGAAAATCTCCATAATTATCCAAATATTAATCTCCATAGTTTTTTTCAAGAAAAATGCAATTTAGAAATAATTCTTTAATAAATTTAAACATGGAAGTAGTCAATCAAATAAAGGAAACTCCTTTTAAAGACACAAATTTATTTTAGATAATTACTAAAATAAGTTAAACTATGAATTAATTACATGAATATAAAAGTGAAAAAGCAATTCTTTCTGCAGCAGATAAATTAATTAAATCTCATATTCGATTTTAAGAGATAGAATGGATTTTTAAGAATTTTAAACTTAGAGATTGGTAATCTGTAGATACTATTCTTCTAAGGATACTTTAAAATTTTACTATAAATAATGACAATAAATTAATTTAAAAAAAAAATAAACCAGATTAATATTTTTTATAAGTTCTATATGATTTTTAGGATAAATTAATAGATCTTTTTAAAAAATTATGTGATGATTCTTATCGTTAGTTAGAATAAACTATTATAAATTAAAAATAAAAATTATTAAGTATTATTTATTAACAATTTTAAGATAAAGAAGTTGAAGTAATGCAATAATTTTCGAAACTAGGTAAAAAAGAGAGTTATAATTAATTTAAATTAATATTAAATGACTCATACAAAATGAATACTAGAGTCATGGAAAGTTCAATAATGAAATAATTAACTGAATTTGAAGATAGATATGGAATGTTTAAATAAATAGAAAATAGTAATCGATTCATTTCTAACAGAATAAACGATTTAGTATATGATATTAAAACTGTAAATATATTTTGAGTTCATTATTATGAGTTCTTACTATAGTTTATGTATAGATATATTATATACATGTGACTGATTATAAAGTCAAAAGATAAATAGACATTTTATTTTCTAACTTAACTCATAAATTAGAGTATAATTTAACTAAATTATTTTAAGAATATAAAATGTTTTATTTCTATAGATCTTAAAATCTCATACTATCATTTAATATTAATTTCTATTCAAAATATTAATTCATTTTTATATCTATTCTAAGTCAAATTTATTAGTAATCCATTCATATTCATCATGGATTTACATTAGTAATGTGATAGGTTCCCCTGATTTAAATTATAATACATCAATATTCAATTATTATTTCTTTTTTAATAAAATAATGGCAGACTTTTGGAAACCTACAGCAGATATGTATAGTGCTCTATTCGAAAAGCCAAAAATGTCATAGAAGTTACTTGAAAAACCTCCATTCAAATATCTATTTGATATTATTATGGAGACAACTAAATAAACAGGTTTCAAATTTAAATTTACATTAGGCTATGCAAAAGGACTCTATACAGCTGATGAATTAGATGGAAATTCATATGATAATAAAGATAAGAAGCTTTAATTCTTACAGAAGATTATAGATTTGACATCCATGATGTTGAAAGAGGAAATTGCTGCAAAACCTGGTAAAATAGCTGCAGGTTTGGAACCTGAAAATACTAATTTATTATTATAAGCAATTTACAGAGCAGCTGTGAGTGGTAAAAATAGTGATGCTTTTGTTAAGAAAGTACTACTGTTTTATAATTTTAGATATTAGGAGGTGCAGGAGCAGGAGCCAAAGAACCCGAACCACCTAAAAAAGAATAGTCTAAACCAGAACCAAAAGCTCAATAGCCTCCTCCAAAAGAATAAGCTGCACCTTAAATTAAGGAGGAAAAGAAACCTGAGGAGAAAAAAGTTGCTCAACCTAAAGAAGATTAAAAGCCAAAATAATAAGTTTAATAACCTCCTGCTTAATAGCAAAAAGAAGCTTAAAAATAATAATAACCTCCCCCTCCTTAATAATAATAGGTATAAGAAGGAAATGTACGACCTTCAACAGCTAAAAAAAGACCACCTTAATTACCTACCAATCAAGTTTCAGTTGATTAGAATTAGAAAAAAGGAGGAACAGCTAATGTAATTATAGAGGGTAAAGGAAATAATGATGATGATGATGGAATAATAGTGTAAAGTAATGTGAAACCAAATGCTGATATTAATGCACAAGAATATGGTAAATTCGTAAGAGATAATATGAAAAATTAAGATAAGGGTAAGGATGAGGAGAAAGAAAAAGAAAAGGATTAACCTTAAGAAGGTATTAAAATGAAGAGGATAGGAAAAGTAAATGTTTAAAAAGGTATTTACTTAAATTTTATAAGTAGATAAAATAAAGGAAGAAATTGCATAGAATTTAGGAACATCACAAGTTTCTGATACAATTGTAATGCAAAAATTAATCCAATCTATGAGTCAAAATGTGAATCCATTGGCTAAATAAATTGAATTTATATAAGATGATATTGAAAATATGAATAGAGAATTGTAATAATGGAGAAAGATCTATAATGTCTCAAAACAAAAGATGGTAGATATGAATAGAGCAACTGAAGAAGTAATAATTATTTATTATATTATAGGCATAATAACCATTATTTGATAAAATTGCTGAAGTTGAAGAAGTAATAAAAGAGAAGAAATCTAAAATACAAAACATTAAAGCTTAAATTATAAAAAATAAATTACAAATTGATTAATTGCTTAAAGCAGTTTTAGTATAAAAATGAGAAAAAGTTATACAAATTATAAAATTAATTATAAATTATTATTAATTAAATTTAAATTAAAATAAATAAAATCAAAATTTACCTGATTTTCTCATCCCTCTTTTTGGTGATGCATCAGGTTATTTTTCTTATTTGACTTTAGCATTCAACATTGCTGATATAAATGAATAAAACTTTAAAGCTTTTCTTTTGCCTATCAATTGCAAGGCACGAATTTTTTAATTCTTTTATATTACATTCAATCTTTCTTCTTAATCCAAATCTACTATCAACCCAAAAACTCCAGGAATTTAATTTACTAATTATCTTATTGCTTCTAATTCTATACTAGTCCAATCTTCTTGTACTTTCTGAAGATTTTTAAGCATTTGTATTTTATTGAAAATATTAATCAACTTAGTCATCATCTATAATAAAGAATAAATATTATATGGATGAGCAAATAAAGCATCAATAATTTAATAGTATTTATTTAATTCAGCATTAACATATTCTAATCCCATTGACAAACAAACATTTTGAATTAGTTTTTTTGGTATTTGACTATAATGATTATAAAAATCTAAGTAGGGTAAATTAAATTCACAATAACTAAGTTTATAAAATTCAACTTATGGAGGATGCATCAAATATTATAATTACAATTATTTAATAAAGAAATTTTATTCTGTAGCAGCAGTAAAAAAGGATTCTGCAGTGACAATACCATCACCACACATATGTGCTTCTCTAAATAGAGTGCATATTTCAATTTCAGATGAAGTTGGAAAATTGAATTAGAAGATTTTTCTAAAATTTTTATAATTTACTCCATATTTTCCAAAACTTTATAAGGATAAACAAGAATGAAACATTTCTTTTAATACTGCTAATCTTGTCTATCTTTCTTATCTATAAAGTTCAAGTAAAATTCTTAACACATAATGACCATCAACTAATTTTTTCTTATTTTTAGTAATAATCATTTCTTTAATTAAATTTTTTGTATAATTAATTTATTCAACAGGATATTTATGCATAATTTCTTAGATTAATTATTCTGCTTATTCTTATCTAACATACATAATTGTTTCAAAATTGGATCTTGATAGATTCTTAACTTATCCTTTGAAAAGCATATATCTACAATGCAAATAATAATATACTTCATCTAGAGATGATTACTCAAATAAAAATTAACTATTTATTTTAATTTAAATACTTAAACGTTATGACTTCATGTATTTAACCTAATTTTGGATTTAAAGTGTCCATGAGAAAATCTAAACGAATATTATCTATTTAATCTTAGCTCACTTAAATGATTTATTTTGTATATTTATCTAATGAAAAAGTGCTTATCCAAGCAAAAACAAAATCTGCAAATTTTGTAGCTATTTGTAAATTCTCTAAATACTAAAACTCATTAAATTTAGCATCTAAAATTGCTCTGATAATTGCAAAGTAGTTTAGAGAAATTTTATGTCTATTAATATTTTTATATTCTGATTCTATAAGTTTAATTTGACTTTCATAAAATACTAAGAATGATTATCGAGGATATGTATATTTGTTAAGTCTATCCATATAAATATGATCTAATTTTAAATTTTTCATAAATTAATATTGTTATTATTCTTGTTCATTTAATTTACTCATTTTGTCTTAAATAAAAGCTTTCATTTGAACCATATGGAATTTCTCTTTTGTAAATAAGTATAATAATTTTTAAAGATTTTCTTCAGCTTCTTTATTAAATTCTGGAATTTCAACTCTTTTGCTTTTCTCTATTTTAATTTAATCTAATTCTCTTTATAGCAATTACAATTTCTTTTTAGATTTTGCTTCATCTGCTAAAAATTTTTAATATCTCATCTATTAACTTAATAAGTCTTCTTCCAACATTTTTGATATGTCTTTCCAATAATATCTATCATTATAGACAGACATATATGTAGTTTCCATTTAAGTAAATCTTTCTTGATTACTATTGATATAAGTTTACAATTCTTCTATTTTTTCTTCATGTTATTAGATTATTGATTTTAATTATGCTATTTTTTATAAATGTTTGATCAGTTATTAATCTCTATTTTAAATTTCAATTTTCAATTCCAAAGTTCTTTATTTTAACTCTTCAGTTAAATCTTTAATTTTTTCTTTTAAAAGATCAACATCCATGCTTATCTCTAGATTTCTTAATTTAGTAGCTAATTGATTGAGTTCAATTTACAATTTATGATTAATAAGTTTTAACTCATTATTTAAGATTTATGTTTCTCTATCTATTTTATTATTAGATTCTTTTATTAAAGCTATTGAGAATTTTCTTTAAATTTCAGTTTCTACTTAAGGATTTATTTCAATTTTTTTAGGTTCTTTTTCTTTAATGATTTAAAGCATAATTTATATGGATTACGTAAAAAGATTGATTGAGCTATCAATTAATTAACTATTTTTAGATAATTCTGTTAAAGTAATACCCATTTATGATTATTAAATGAATTTTTTGACTTAAGGTAATATATTAGGATATTGTAATGTAACTTATTATTAAAGAATATCTTATATTTCAACAAATGTATTATTGGTTTTTGAATGATCATTTTAATAGTTAAAATGAGACCAATTAGGATTTACAGATAATGCATTTTTTGAACCTACAATTATTAAATTATGTTACTTTATGGTACTTGTACCTTAGGTAATCTGAACATGGAAGATAATACGATTTCACTTTTTGTGTGTTTCTTTCTTACTTCTTCCATTGGACCTAGAGATTCAACTCGTTAATGTCTCATAAGAAATAATAATAATAAAATATTATATTGATATTTAAACTCATTATTCTTGGACTGCATTTTTGATGGCTTTAAATAATTGAGTTGCTTCTTAAATAGAAGAAAACTCTAAACAGAATCCTTAGAGTTCAACATAAATCTTTTTTGGATTAAAAGTCTTTTATTTGATCAGAGTCTTAATGAAGACTGATACTAGTCTGACTTATCTTGTTAATTGTTATTAATTCTAAATAATGAAATAAAAATAATTACTTATTTGACTTCTTCACAAGTTACAATACATCTTGTTATGAACATATTAAGAAATTGATCAGGAAGAGTGATATTCTTAGTGAGTTGATTCACTAATTCTAAAGTCTAAATGGTAACCTTAATCTGAATGAGATAATCTAAATATCTATAGAATAATATTAATTAAAGATTTACTCATGGACATTAATTCCAGATTAATGTAGTTTAGTTATGATATCACTAACTAATTGAGGATTATGTTCAACAAGATTGTTGAATTGAATGATATCAATTTTATATTCAGACTTATATAAAGTCAAGATCATTTATTAATCTTATGGAGTAAGCTTGGTGGATTGTGCTTATGCTAAGAAAAATCTAAAGAGGAATGGATTAATATTATAATCCCAAATTGGTTGATGTACAATTTGAGGTGAAATCTCTTCCCATTATGGTGTTAATATTTAAGGGATGGGTCTCAAATATTCACATGAAGGAATGAGGGATGTATCAATTTAATTCAGTAATTAATCTAAATCTTACCCTTACTCTATCATACTGCATTGAGAATACATATTTAATATTGTTTACTATGTTCAATTCTAATTGATTGTTACACAATTCAATTAAACTCATTTTCTAATTGATCTAATGGACATTATACAAATATTATAATCTTATGTGTTATGGCAAGTCCTTGAGATATTTATTTAAATTTAAGTTACCTAATCACGTAAACTGGATAACATGAAATTACAAATTTCATTCATTCCCTGCTCTTTGATGGATTTAAAATTATCTTCAAGAGTCTTATGGATATCCACAGGGACTTTATTGTTTGCTTACATTACAAAAGTGATTTATTGAAATAAATTACTTAAATATATTAATATACAATTTTAAATATAAATATGATTAAAAATAAAAGCTATTTGATTTATGGAGGTGCTTTAGTATTTGCATTACTTGGGTCATTCAAATATATAATAAAATCTAAATAATAGAAGCCAATAGGTTAAATAGAATTCAGTTTACTATAGTCATCTACAACACTTGATTACATAAAGAAACCAGCAGGGATAAGAAATATAGGGAATACATGTTTCTTGAATTCAGTATTATAAGTACGATAAATTACATAATTAGTGGCCTTAAGTTCATAACCAAATTTTATTGAATATTTATTTGAATTAGTTTAGCAAATTAATGGATAAACAACATTAGCATAATAGATCTGTTTAGAATTGGCCAAAATAATGAAATACCTAAATAATGATATGGAAATAATAGATGTTAATGATTTAATTAATCTTCTATCTGAAGATGCTGATTACTCTTTTTTTTATCAATAATAAGATTCTCATGAACTTTTTAACATGTTAATGAAACATATTGAAGAAGCAAATAATCAAATTAATTAATTTGATTTAACAATGTTAAGATCAAAATAAATGAAATCTAAGAATCCTTTTCTTCATCATACAAAAGTTTAGATTAAATGCAATACTTGTAATTATTCTGTAAATATCTTCTAATAAATTTAGTTTAATTCACTAAAAGTAGAAAGTAATTATGCATTTTATTTTCATCTTAATTATGCAAGAACAATTTAAGAAGCAATTGATTATATCTAACAACCTGAAATAATCACTGAATATATATGTTTCTATTGTTCTTTGTAATTTTTGAGGAAGAAATATACATTGAATGAATAATAGAAGATTATTGATTAATATCTCTCAAATAATAATTATGATGAGGATTCTTTAACCATAATTAAAAAGATTATTGAATAACTAAATGTAGTCAAAGGCAATCAATTTTAGATAGACCCATAGAAAGCATGTCTTAAAAGAACTGTGACACGCTAGACTCATATTGCAAAATATCCAGTATTTGTATATAAATCTATTCTAAGAAAACATTTTGTTTTTTTGTCAATAGATTAATAGTACATCCTTATCATGGATTGATTAAATTGGATCATTCAGTTTATTTAGATTCTACTTTTAAGGTTGCTGAGAAAGAATACATTTTATCAGCATTAGTTTGTCATATAGGTGATTCTAATTCTGGTGAGTATCTTAAATCATCTATCTAGGCCATTATATTGCATTCAAAAGGACATTTGCTTAGGATCTTTAATCATCAATGAATCAAAATAAATCATACAAAAAATGTGAATGGTATATTACTTCTGACAAAAAAGTTACTCTTACAAAGTAACCATTACAAGGTGAAGCATATTTAATTTTTTATGATACATATTGATATATTATATAATTATTATTGAAAGTCCACCAATAGTATAATTGAGAATTCAAATAAATATATTTATTGTAAAAATCATCACAAATAATTTTATGGGTATACTTATTTACTAGATAAATATTAAATCTATCAAGTCGTCTTTTGTATACTCTATTTTACTATAGAACAATGTTTACAAATATTTGATTACATCTTGTATCAACATTTAAGATTATATTGTTCATTTATTAATTAAATTAATTAATAATATTTTAATCATTCTAAAATATATTTGTGTTTTGTAGTTGACAAAAATAAATCTGTTTTTATTATCTCTGTATTTACAATTTAATTAAATTTCTCTGGATTCTTCAATTTCAATGATCTTAATTTCTATTCTAAAATTTCAAATTTTTTATCAATCTAATTAGAAATTATTGAATCTTATTCTAAACGTTGAGTCTTTCTTTAAGTCTCTTATGTAGGTTCTTCATATATTTGCATTTAAGCTTAAGTCTATACTATTTCACTTGCTAATGATTCCATTTTTCTTTATTAAATTATACTTGTATCAAAGTCAAAGCATTCTTTTCTTACTTCAGGATGATCTCTCATTTATTCTAATTAATTATATATATAATTTACCTAATTATACTTATTAAATCATTCTTTAAATATTCATTTATACTTCTCTCATATATTCATCAAGATGAGATTATGTGTTTATCTAAGTTTATTATTCATCATCTAATTAAATTTGATTAGTAAATTTAAGTGTTTAATCTTTCTCTATTACATCTTTGTATCTCATTCTATTTTCATGAAATTTACGTATCATATCACCACAAGCATCTTCATTTTCTCTCTTATCATTAACTAATCCTTCAATTGCTTATGGTAAATTCTTCAATTACTTTTAACGTTATTCATCTAATATATTTTATCAAATAAATTTACAAAGATATATATTATATTTAGCTTCATCATCTGGATTCTATAATTATGTAATTTTCTTTTCAATATCCTTTTTAAGATCAGCCAAACTCAAATTCTATCTTGCAATTAATTCATATTCCTATTTTAGATCATAAACTTTCTTTTTTGCTATAGTTGCTTAGTTTTATTACTTGGCCATTGGAGATACAGATGGTGATTAAATATCATTTCTCAAAGTAGATTTACTTGATTTTGATGTATTTTTCTTCTTTTTATTACTAGGATCTTCTTCATCCCAATCATAATCATAGTCTTCATCATCATTATTATTGGCAGCTTCTTAAAATCTTGATAATTTTGTTTTCACTCTTTATAATTTTGCTTAAGGTGTATTACTTTAATCTTCAAATTTAGTTTTCTTATTTCCTTACTTTTTAACAGGTTATTAAAGAGGAGTATTATTTTATTGAGGTGTTCCACTACTATTGACTAATGATTAATTTTATGAAGGTTAATAGTTTTTCAATTAAATATCCTATAAATTAGTTCTATTTCTTAATTATTAAGATTAAGTATTCTCAGCAATATTTTAATTACTATCCTAACGTTGAAAATTTAATTTAATCTATCTATCTTCATTATTATTATTATTATTAATTGATTCTTATTAATTTAATATTTATTTAGTTTATTAAACTTAATTTTATTCTTAGTTTTACTATTATTCCTATTCTTAATACTAAGATTATTGTGTTTTATCTCTTGGATTTTATTTATTTATTTATAGCTATTATTATTATTATTATTATTATTAATCTGATTATTTTGATTTTTTAGATCTTTCACTTTATTTAGGTTCTGACTTCTTTGTTCTTTCAGTCACTTGTTTGATAGTTCTTTTTGTTATTATATTAATAGTATTTCCATTTTCATCTATTTATTATTAGATTTCTTCAACATATTATTCATCTTCTTTGTCTGTTAATTGATCATATTCATCTTAATGAGGTACTTCTTCAACTGATAAGTTTGGAGAATATACTTCTTATTTTTCATTGTCTTTATCACTACTTTCTCTATAACCTTATTTTAAACTTTTTTAGGTACCATTAGATTTTAAAGATCCATCAGGTTAATATTATTCATCATAATTTGTTCTTTTAGTTTTACTTTTATGTGGATCTGATCTTTAAGTACCTTATTAACTAGAGATTTAAAATTGTTAAGTATTTTCAGATTTATTAAAAGTTTAATCAGTTTTTTATTTGATTTAAGGTTTTCTTAGATTAAAATTGGTTTCTGTTTATCCTTATTTAATTTGATCAGATTCATAATTGATATTAGTTGGTGGATTATGAGATCTAAATGTATTTTACTATTTTTCACTGGATTCATCAAAATCAATTTAATCTCTTGATGTATTTTTACCTGATTAAATTGGTTAAGATTATTTCTTTGTAAATATTTATTCTCTTTATTTCTTTTGATCATCAATAACAGATTATAAAAAGTTTAATTCTTCATCCATTTCTTAAGAATTAGCTCTTTCTTAAAGATTTATTTTATGAGAATCTAGAAATTGTTTTCTTTCATCTTCAGACATATTTTTAATCATGGCAGATTATTTGGATCTTTTAGTATTATCTTATATTTTATAGCTTTTCCTTGATTTTTCTTATTTTGATGGAGCATTTTCTTCATAAAATTTTAAATAATCAATTTATTCTTTATTATGAGATATTTTAGGTGCTTTAATTGGATATCTAGTTTCTTCTAAAAATATCTTTTTATTTGGTTCATTTTACATAATTGTAGTGGATTATTTTAATAATTTAGATGATAATTTATTAATAGGATGTTTAAGTAAAATATTAGTAACTTCATTTAATTATTTTTCAATTTGATCATGTGGTATTTGAGCTTATTATAATTATTATGAAATTTATTAAATAATATTAGCAATTTATTCTTCATTCAATTTTTTATCAGATAGTGACACTTAACTCTCAATTTTAAATGTATGATCTAAATGAGATATGTCTCTATTATAAGAAAGATGTCTACGTAATTCTTCAGGAACATCTTCATTTTTCATTACTGGTATACTTTAAGTTACTTTTTCTTAATCATCAGAATCAATATCTAAATAATTGAAAGTAGAAGGTTAATCCATAATTGGAGTTGGATTTTTATGCATATTAATGATATTAGATACTAGATTTTATGTTATTTTTTAGACAGTTTCAGATTCAACTTAGGAGAGAGTTTGAGATAGTTAAGATTCTTCTGCTGCTCCTCCTTAAATTTTCTTTTAATCAATTACTCTTTATAGAATTTAACTGAATTTCATTTCATAATAATTTTATCTTTCAAATTGTATATCATCACTTTCATCTAGTTGTTTTGATGATACTTTAACCTTTTATTCTTCATTTAATTTATAGGCACTTTTTCTCATAGTTTCAGTTTGTTTCTTTTCAATACTTAATTAATTTGAATGATGATGTGATTAAGAAGATGCCAATTAATTTGATCTATTGACACTAGATTTAATGGTTTTACTTGTTTTATTTTGTAATTATGATACCATAGATAGACTTTATTAAACCTTAGACTTGCTAGTATCACCAATATCAGGTTAAAAATATGGTTATTAAAATTATTGACTATCATTATCAGATCTTTAAACAATTTATTATTTTGCTTATTCTAAGAATTTTAAAGTTGGTAATAATTTATTTTTATCTTAGATCTTTTCTTTACTATGTTCAGTTTCATTTCCTTTTGTAGCAAGAGAAGTAGATCTAATTTATTGTAAGATAGATTGCATTTCAGTTGATTATTCTTATATAAGTGTTTCTTCTATTTATTTCTATTTTAAATTAAGTTTATTATTTTTATTAATTATATCTTCTAATTCAGGTTCATCTTCATAATTATGAAATTTATATTCAGTAACACTTACATTAGGTTATGATTTGTATTGCATAGATTTAATAATTGATACTTCTTAAATAGAACTTAATTCATTAAAATTATTAAAATTATCAGGATTATCAATCCCTGGAGGTTTATTTAATTCATTCTTTATAGCCATTTCTCTTTCATAAATTTATTTCTTGATTCCAAGAATTTAATTTAATTATAATTCTCTCTCTATTTCACTTAATTAATTATGTCGTTACATAATAATTTCTCTTACTTTTCTTACATCTTCATGTGAAACCATTTGAGATTCCTATATTGCTTATACTACTCTACTTAGCATTAATTCTTCTAATTCCAATTATTAATCTCTTGTTTTAGCTTAAGGGATTTTTGATGTATCAATATTTACTATTTTTATTTAAGTTTATGGAGATACTAATTTAGGTAATTCTATATGTTTATTGACAATAGCAGCTTATTATTATAAATTTTTAATGCATTCTCTAACAAATTTCAGTTATTTTTGTTAAGATGGTGGTTTAATCTCTATTGTTTTGTATGCATTACGTATCTCTTCTGTATTTGGTTCTTCAGTTTAATTCAATTATTATTTTTTAGTATTTTCATTCTTTTTTTATCCCTCTTTAGCTTTCTTTTCTTTTCTTATTTTCTGAATTGCAAATTTATTCTTCATATACAATCTATAGTAAAACTTGAATAAGTCAACATTTCCTTTTCCTTTGAAACCCATAGCATGATTAGCTACAAAGTCAAAATCTCTATGCAATGGAAATTATATCTCTAATTAATTATCGATGCTTTATCTCTATTTCTTTTCAAATTTGGGTCTAATTATAAATGTCTATTGATTCCACTCTCCTCTGTCTTTTACAAGAGGCAAATGAGATGAAATCATTTCCATTTTTTCCATTTTAATTATATTATTTAATAAGACTTTATTGGTAATATTATTATTTATTAAAAATGGCTTTGATACATAATTAAAATGACTTATAAAATATGTTTAGTAAGGCAGGAAAAATAACTTCTGAAAAATATATTGTATTTCAACATAGAGATGATCATCCAGTTAAAAAATTCATTACTCCACAACCTAGCAAATCTCCTGATTCAATTAAAAAGAAACCACTTTCTCAATAGGAATCACTTAATGAAACTGAATAAAATCAATTAAAACAACTTCTCAAATTGTCCTAACCTTTTTCAAAATAGATTTCCAGACAAATTGGTCATTATACTTAAATTGGAAACAATAGTAAAGCATCCTGTGGACAATATCATATCAAATATAGTGAACTTGATAAGTAATATCAATATCATATACTTTTAATAGAGCAGTACATTCAGTTCCACATTATGATAAGACTTTGAAACACACTATGCCAATAGAAATTCCTCCTAAACATCAATAAGATTTGCCTATAGAGTATTATCAACTATTAATTATAATAGTACTCCTTCCATCATTGAGAAACCTAAAGTTAAATATGAGAGTTTTGTAGATTTACAAAGATAGATACCAAGGTTTGTTCATCTCTCTAAAATAGAGCTGACATATTTTCAGGAAGACCCAATCCTCATCCAGATCGATTTTAATACTTAAATGTAACCAATTAATGGAGTAAGATACCAAGATAACCTTAAATTAAATTGGAAAAATAATTATCAAGAGATCAAATGTTGATATATAAAAAGAAAGAATTTGCACCTGATTATAAACCTAATTTTGAATATGGCAAAAAGTATATTCACTTAATTAAATTAGATAGTTGGGTAGTTGTGGAGCACCCTTTTACAAATTAGAATAAAGAAAAGATATTATGACTAAGATACCTCCTTATACTTTTGAAAGTTACTTTGAATATGATCAATATTCTAAAAAATCTAAAAGTTAACTATTCACTTCTCCAACAGCACCTAATTTTAAAACTATGTTAGATAGGGAATATGATTAACGTTCTTTATTACCTAGTTTCATGCAAGTACTATTTAAGTAATAATAATAAAGAAATTTACTAATACTAGAATGGGTATTACACATTTAAATTAAAAAATGTTGGAAGTTAACAACTTTAAAGATGGAAGATTCTTAACAGTTACATCAAGTTTTATGCCAACAATATAAAAGTAATCAAAAAAGAGTGTAAACAAATCAAGTTAAAATTAATCTATTGATGAAATTTGATATATTAATAATAATCAAATTTATTTAGATTTGTAATATCATCAGATTTCTTATTTTTTGATTAATAATTATATTATCACTATTATCTAAAAGCTATCATAAAATGATGTCTTCTCAAACTTGAATGTCCATGAAGTAGAAAATGAATTATAATTTCTCTTTTTCAAGACTCCTTATCAACTTAATATTTAATTTAGAATTTCTTCTTGTTTGTATTTTCAATATAAATTATATTCATAATATAATGTAATATACATATTATGAATATAATTTACAGGCAATTTTATATATATATTGAGAATCAATTATTAAAATATGTTATGATTGAAGAATATCAATATTTTCTATGAGGTTCCTTAGTAGTTACTATTTTTGGTGCCAACACTTGAGTTGTGGGCTTAAGCATTTCCTTCGAGGGAATATGTTATCTATTTTAAGAAGTAGTTCTTTTCTTTTCAACAGATGATATCTTATTTTGTGATTATTATTATAATGTTTTTCTTTGCGCTGTCAATTATTAAGTACTTAATTATTAATTATTAATATTTGATATTTTCTTCTCTGAATCTATACCATTTAATACTCCTTTTGGCAATATTGGAGGCTATTATTGTAATGGTTATGTCATTATCAATTATTGATGTAACTATTGTTTTTCAGCACTCATTAAATCCTGTTGAGTTTTTATAATATTATCATCCTTAATCCAATCATACTTTTAATCAAGTTCAAAACCAATCTTTTTAAAGGCATCCTAATATATCTTATAAGTAAAATACTTTAAATAATCCTCTTAAATAAAGATAATCTGGTTTTTCTTCAAATTTTAAATGCTTACAATAATTCAAGTATTAACTTAATTCAATTGGAAATCCTTTACACAATACATCAGATGATGTTTCTAACTTTTTCTCCATTATTCTTTGATATTTCTCTTTTTGATTATTTCCCTTCATGTTTTACCAAGGTAGCTATCCTCTTAATAAATACATTAAGACATATCCAAGAGACTCTAAGTCATCTCTTCTTGATTATTCAATTCCTAAATGAGTATTGATAGATGCATATCTGGCAGTTCCAGTTAGACTTTTTCCCTCTCTATATGGGATGTGTCCTTCTTTTGTTTAATAACGTTTAGCTAATCCAAAATCTAATAGGTAGATTCTGGTTGCCTTTTAACCTATTCCAATTAGGAAATTATCAGGCTTAATATCACGATGAAGAAATTTGTTCAAATGAATGAATTCAATTCGTTAAATCATTTGATCACCAAGCATCAAAACCTAAAAATAAATAAGAGATGTATACAGTCTTTAGAGATAGTCTTTTATTATGTTTGTTGAACAGATCTTCTAGACTTTAACCCAACAAATCAATGACGATGTAATTATAATCACCGTCTGTCCCTTAAGCATATATTCTAGGGATTCCTAACTTTTAATTAACAATTCAAATACCTTTATCACTATGATCAGAGCCTTATAAATAAGTATATAATTTAGCTTCAAAAAACAATTAAGGATGTTTAGTATCACTTCTTTCTAATTTCATTGCATATTCCTCCTTTCCTTTTGCTACTTAATAAATTTCTCCAAAAGCTCCACTTCCTATTCTTTTGATCAATTTATAAACTTTGCCAATGACAGAATTTGTTAGATCTTTACCTATAGGTGTGTCCATTAATAAATATAAATTTAATAACTTATTCTTTTTTAGAATTCAAAATAATTTAAAATATAAGTATGCCAAAAGGAATCCCAATATAAATTTCCATTAATTTTTTACCATTAACCATGCTCTATACAACATTAATAAAAACTTTAAGAATATGGCCAATCTACCAACAACTTTAGACAATTACTCTGGACTATTATAATTGAAATATATAACTCACCTTGCAGAATTAATATATTATGTAATTGCATTATTACCACCAAATGCAGGAGCCATCATTTTTAACATTTAAGGATTAGCCTTTAATTGATCTATAATCATTTCAAACATTTATGGATTCTATGCTAATCCTTATAAATTTGATGGCATTTATTAAGATGTAGTAGGTAATTAAGTATCATTTTGATTATTATTAGATTATTATTATTATTATTATTATTATTAAGTTGATTAAATAGGTTATTATTATAATTTTTATTATTATAATACGGCTGGATCTATATTTTTCATTTATGCTAACATTTCAGGTGTCATCATAGTTTACATCATTTCTATTTATTAATCTGACATTTCTACTCCACTTTATTATTTCATCATTTATTTTAAAAATCCTTTATCCATTGATTTTAAAGTATTAGTCATATAATTTAATTATTCAGGTGACTATTATAGTAATGAATCTTACCATATTTTTAAATTAATCAAATTATTATTAAAATTGAGGATTTTCTGATATTTTATTAACATTTTAAGTTTCTGTTTATTTAGTAGTAATAGGTTTATTGGTTTGATTAGTTGAAATCTCTTCTTCAATAATAAAGCCATCCTCTTTAGATGATTGTACCTACTACTTTAAATTTTAGAATTCCTCAGAATTGGTATCAACAGAAGATAATTTTATTTTTGGTTTTTTTAATTATTATTATTGAGTTTATTCATTTAGATTTCCTTTTTATTCCTATTCAACTTTTTATGATTAAGTATTTGTAGGATTTACATTTAAATTATTTATTTATTCTTTAACTTATTTATACATAATTTAAACTGTTTCATCATTAGGTAATTTATTAGATGCAATCTCTAAATATCCTAGAGCTTCTTAATAATTTTTAGTTTCAAAGAGTGCTTAACCCATTCTAAAATTAGCTTTTCCATTCTAATTATCATCTACTAAAACTTTCTTAGCTTAACGTAATACAACATCAAATTATAATTATTTTGCTTTTACATTACAATAATTTAATCTACAAGAATGTTCTAATTATTTCAATTCTTATTTTTTAATTGTGTCATTATTTATATACATATTATTTTCCCACATTTCTTCAATTTCAGATATTGCTTCATAATATTTAGATGCAGCTTTTTCATAATCTTATGATTTAAATGCATCATTCCCTTAATTTTTTAATTTGTTAATTATTGGAAATTAGTCACTCTAAGGTTTTTATTACTATTATTATGATTACTATTATTAACCCTAAATTCTTTACTTTGCTCTTTCTATATCCTCTGGACGAGTCTAATATATAAATATAAATATAATACTTAATTAACTTATCTTTATAGATCTTCATCTCTCATATTTTTAACTTGACTCATTTATTATCTCATAAATGAAGGATCTATATTACCCATTCCAGCCATTTAAGCATATTATCTTAATTAATCATCACTCATATTTGCACACATTTAAGACATTTATTTCATCATTTCTGGAGTCATGAATTTCTTAGTGTCTTCATTAAATTACATTTTAATATAATTTTTAATTAAACTAAAGAACATATTAAAATCATATACTATTTGAATCAATAATACATTTTATCTATTTTAGACAATTTATACAATTGATCTAAACAATATATTATATATTATATATAGCATTATATATATATAATAAACAGTTAATGAATAAATCTGTTTTATTAGAGATGTAATTAAAGGAAGCTATGGATAGAGAGATTAATCTCAAAAAGCTTAATGAATCCTTAATGTAAGCCATGAGTGATATGACAAATTAAGATAAAGGCAAAGAAATTCATTTCATAAATTAACTGCATTAATAAGAATTATCTAATCTAAAAACTAAACTTCAAGATAAAATTATAATACTTGAATATGAAGTAAGATATAAATAGTATTTTAAGAATCGTAAAAAATGTTAAGAGTTTATATAATTATAAAATGATTATAACCAATTATAATTAGACTATTAAGAATAAGAAGCAAAGTAGTAAATATTATTACTTATTAGAAAATGTCTATAATGTGTTTAATTACAATATTAATTAGAATAAATCATTAAATAAAATGTGATTGAAAAAGAAGGACTAGCTCATGAATTCTCAGAGGCTCTAAATAATCAAAAATCCATTTTTGAATATGTATACTTATCTTTTACTATTCGACAGGATATGAATTGTCTTAAATTAAAACTTAAGGAACTCACATATTAATTAGATTGTGAATATGAAGATAAATAGAAAATGTAAAAGGCTTTTGAAGAATTAAATAAGATTAATGATTAAGCTGTAAATTTAACAATTAAATTAGTAAAGAAGCTTAATGTAATAAATTGCTGATTTAAATAAAGCACATAATGAGACTATTCTTTAAAATAATGAATATCAAATGAATACTTAATAAAGGGAATAATTGTAAATAGCAAAATTTACTTAAATTGAATAAGATAAAATAATTTTAGAAAAATAATTATTAGAATTTAAGTAAATAATATAATATATTATTAATATAGAGAGATTAATTATAAATTAGATTCCTAACTTAAAATAATCAATTAATAATTACATGATAAAGAAAATAAATTAGTTGAATAAAAAACTTAATTAACAAAAAAATTGAATAATGAAAAAAAAATTGCAGAATAATGTTAAGTTGTTGCTTTAAAACTTAAAAATGATTTTTAAAGAAAATAAGCTCTTCTTATTGATGAATCTCTCAAAAAAGAATAACAATTAAAAACTATTTAAACTCAACTTACAAGATAAAAGAGTAAGAATAAATTTTATGAAAATGCTCTATGTTAAATAAATCTATAAGAAATTAAAAATATGACACCAAAATAAATAAAAAAACATAAAAAAAATAATCTTTCTAATGATTATAATTATTCTCGTTAACATGGACATTAAAAAGTAAATAATTACTTTATCTAAGAATACTTTAAGTCAAGGATAAAAAGCAGACTCTATACATTTTAATTTAACAGATATGCTTAATTCAACTGATTAATAAAGTTTATCTTGTAGATAATCTAAGGATGATATTACATACAATATTGAATAATTCAATTGTATTGCTAAAATTGTATTATTTTATTTAAATCTAAGATCTAAACAAATGAAGATTCAGTCACTCCTACTTAAATATTAACAGATAGATAATTATCTCCAAGAACTAGAAGTACTCCTATTATTGATAATTATTAATAGTTCAAACTGTGAATACTAAAGGACCTACTAAGAAAGTAAGATAAATATAAGCAAATCTATCTAAAGAAAATGTAAATATGAAACCTAAAGCTTGATATACTTAAATAATTATTTAATTGAATCTAAGAATAATCTATATGTTATTTCTCTTAGAACAACATAATATTTTTTGTTTAAATATGTTAATTTCTACACATTCAAATTATAAGTTAATAAAATATGGGATAGCTCTTAACACGTGCTTATCTATTATAAATTATGCTATTAACTTATAATAAACATATAGAGAATTGTAAAAAGTAAGCTCTGAGCATATATGTGATATTCAGTATATATATATTAATGTTTATATTATGAATAATATTAACTGGGTATAGTTTTCTATTAAAACAGTTATGAGGAGAGAGCATATCCTAATTTTGGTGATTGTTTTATATAATAATATCAAAATTTCATATAAATATACGATACATGGATACAAAAAAAGTAGAGATCAAAAGTTTTAACTGTTAATTTCAAACTTTTTAAGCCTTTCTTTTTAATAGGGGACATGGATTTAAAACAATCTTTTTTTTGAGTTGTTTTTCACTAAAAGTTTAATATAAATGTCTTACACACACTTGCAGAAATAACCATTGCAACACTGACAATGATAAAACATTCTTTTTGAATTCCTATAACAATTTCTATGCAATTCAACATCTTCATCACTTTAATAATAGGTATCTAATCTTGTCTTTATGAAATTAACATTTATAATTACATTCACACAAATTGGACAATCAACAGGTAAACCATTACATTATAACATATCAAATTGCTTATGACAAGTACAACAATTTAGAAATCCTACACTAACCTAACACCAAGGACATAAAATGTAGCAGCAATCCATCTTTTTTTATTAATGATATAATTAATAACAATATTAACAATTGTGTTAATACGTCAAATAGGGATCACCATTTAAATCGTTAATTTACTTTTTTTTTTTATAAAAATTATCCATTTATAATATAAACAACAAATACTTCATTCCCTTAAAGCTACAAGTATGGATCTAATAATTCCTAAGATAAAAACCCAAAGATTGACATTAAATACAATCTATTTTTTTTAAATACTAATTAAATTACTTCCCAGAATATTATGAAAATCAATGTTAGTAAGATAGTTCCTAAAGTGAGAGTTGATAAAAAATAATAATATAGATAATATCGTATACCAGACAGATGTGGAACAAAATTAATTTCTGAACTAAATTATGCGGCTCTTATTAAATAAATGTAATTACTCATATGCAATCATTTCTAAAATAATTGCTTTGATCTTAATATTTTAATTTGGTATATGATTAAATAATTTGATTTCTCCTGTTTTAGAATAACTATCATGCAAATCTAAAACTTCAGATAATTTCTTAAACACTTTAATTATAATCCTAAATGGAAGAAATTTAAATATGGACTATATAAAATATAATTAATTTTACTAAATGATATTATTCTCCTAATTTTATTAGATTTTATTATTTAAAATTCTTATTATTATCATCAGTTATTAAATATGAAGTTAATTCTACTATAGTTTTCTAATTTGGCATTAAATAATTTGCATCAATATTAAATTGAATTTCATAGTATTCCTCTTAAAATTCAATCTCATTTTCACCTTCAAATACAACAGATTCACATAAAAAATTCTTTTAGAATTTCAACATAGAAGACTAAAATTCTAAAATAATGTCTGAATTAGAAATTTAGCATATATTTTTAAATGAAGGATCAAATACAAATCCATAATATTTACCATTTATCAAGTGATATTGAATTTGAACTTTTTAATTCATCTATGGAATATAAGAGAAATATGCTCTTAAAATTATTGCCAATGCCAATATTGAAAAGAATCCATACCATAAGCTTTTTTTTATTATGAATACTATTAAAGGAGTTAGTCTTAGAAATTCAAATATTTTTTATGTGATTCTGATAAAAAATGCAATGCACTCTATAATCATGTTTACAATAATTAAAATTATTATTATATACAATTAAACAATAAAACAATTATAGAATTATAATCATTATGTGTCACAATTCTAGAGTTAATAAAAGATTTCATGCTTTATAATTACTTATAGTAATGTTTAAACAATTTAATGCTCTAGATTCATTAAATAACTAATTTTTCAAAACAGCTAATCCTCTATTTCTAGTTTTATTAGTAGGAAATAATTATTAATAAAATGTTTAATTGATTTTTTAAATGAATCTTTATTTCTTTTATTATTTCTTTGGTGTAGCTGATTCAGATTATATTATATACTAATTTAATGATTCTATAATTTATTTATATATATATTTACAATTTAAATCTATAGAACTTATCTTCCTTTAAGCAGATGCTTTTAAATCTAAAGAGCTTTATTATGGAAAAGAATTCAATTGTAAATGAACTGAATTTAATACTTTATCTTTATTATTTGATTCACATAACAAATAAAAACTATTAGATTTCTCTTATGAATTAAGTTTTGATCTTCTATTCAATAATTATGAGAAAAATTATTCATTTTCAGAATGAGCTTCTTTAGAAGTAGGTCTAGATTACTTTTTTGGACTTTTAGTTTAGATTGTATAATTGTTTAATTTTTGATTTGAAATTAAGGCTTCACGAATTCTTTGATTTCTATTATGTCGAGATGGATCTATTGTTCTATTTAAAAATGAGACAGGTGTTTTATGATTTCTATGGAGGATATCAACTTAAGGAGGTAGTTTTTGTTGTTATAAGTAATTGAATTACTTATTACGTTCCATATTAAGCTTTAAGAGCCTCTCGACATTCTCTTATTTTGATTAGTAATATTATATCATATTGTCTATGTGATCTCTTAGATATCAATATTTTAATACTAATTCAATGAAAGAAGACCATATAATTTCCAAAATTGATCTTCATAAAATTAAAACAGATTCTTATTTAATTTATTATTGATTTGCCATCCTTAGGATTATTTATTTTGTTAATTTACTATTTCATTTGTTTTCTAATCAATTGTTGAATATAGAACTTCAAGAAATCGAATGAAACTCATTGTAGTAAATTTCTTTTGAATAATGATTAAATAATCTATTTAATCTTAATTTTTGCATTTCTCCATTAATTCAGACAGTCTTAAATTAAATCTGTCTAAAAGTCTAAATATATTGATAACATACTTTTTATCAAGTTCTAAAATATTTGTTTTTTTGTATTTTTCTATGAATTTTATAGTCAGACTTTTTAAGGTATCTTCTTTACCAAATATTTTTTATTGAATTCCAATGTGTAATAAGTCTAAATCAGAAGAAAACATATTCGAATGATCCATTTATTAGTTATTAAAAGAAATTTATACATTTGTAATAATTATAATTAATAAAAAACCACATTCTATGATATATATCAAATATCTATGATAATCTAGAAGAAAGTAATTGAATAAGTATTTGATTTTTAAAAATAACTAAATTTAGAATAGAATAATAAATAAATATTGAAAAAAAAATAATATATTTAGTTTATTATAATAATTTTTCATATTTTGGATCAATATAAATTCAATTCATTCTTAAGTATTTAATAATTAGGAACATTTTAAATATGCATTTTTTTAATTAAATAGATAATTATATATATATATATATAAGAGTATGAATTATCTAATTTTCATGCTTAACCAAATGAAGGATATTCTGTCAATTAAACTCTCATGAATCCATCTGAACTTTTAAATTTATTATAAATTTCATCTACTTGACTTTCTTAAAAATATAAATCATTATACCTGCTTTTATCATACCAGAATTATTAATAAATAAGTATAAACTTTCATGTTATTAAACGTGAAGTGTTTCTCTAATAATTTAAAGGAAATGATAAAAATGATCAGATTTGCTTATTAAATATTTTTTAATTTTAGTTCCATCTTGAAATTACATCCTAGATCTATCACTAATCTATAATAAAATTGGTCTAATAATTATATTCAAATACACTCTATCAGGATATTTCTCAAAGAAATTATCCGAGATTTTTAAATTATCACATTACATATAAATTTATTAATTAATTATTATTGTTATTCTTGTTCTTTAATCTTTTTAATATACTAAATAGTCTTATTAATATAATACAATTCTATGTATTACTTTTAAGTTATTAATTCAATAATATTGTCATCTATTTTATTCTATCAAAGTATTATTAAATATATTTGATTTAATTCTTTTCATAATCATATAGAGAGTTATTAACAGTATTTTATATAAATTTAGATATTATCTATTATTTTTAGTAGAATATAATTATTAGAATATCTCTTATTAATATTTATAATAATTTAATATAATATGTATACATAATAATTATTTAATAAATCAATCAAAGTATAAATCATCTAATTGTTGATCTCCCAACAATTGAATTATTCCATCATCATTTAAGTCTTAAACATCTTAATGTTCAGTATTTGTTAACATCAAAGGTGGATTAATATATTGATGTTCCATTCTTTCAATAGTACTATCAGAATCATCTTCCTTCACCTTTTTTTTATTAACAACAATAAGATCTTCATTATCAGATTCTAAGACTTAATATAATGTTGTAGATTATCTTTTCTAATTCCTAATTAAATTTGATTACTTATAGTGGATCATCTTCAAGACTTTACATCTACTATTATCCTAAAAAGTAATCTTTTAATTTCTGAATCTTTTTATTACCATTAAATCTATTTAAATTGATATATATATATATATATACCTTTCTTAAACCAACTAATTTCTAAGTTGTTGATTGCATTATAATATTTTATTATTTTATTCAATCAATATTTTACAAACTTTCTCTAACTCTTGTTATTTAGCTAATATTTCTTAAATTTATTTCTAATTATATTATATAACTTAATAATTAACATCTTATAAATTAGTATTTCTATGTGGTTTCAGTTCCATTATTGCAAATTATTCATCATTATGTTCACCTGACTTTCTTTTTATTTTTTTTAAAAGATTTCTTCAATTATTATATATAAAAATACCTTTAGTCCTTCTTAAAATGTGGGTGAATAAATTCATTTTCTTTTAAATCACTTCTTGACTTATGGAACCCATACATATTCATCTATTATATATTGACTCTTATTATTTACTTATCGTACAAATGATGCAAAGTTTCTATGTTTAAAATACATAGGAAGAACCTGATCTTAGAAGGCTATAACATTTTTTACAAGAAAACCTGAACCATCTTCATTCCAACCTACAATATCTTACAATTAAGGATTCTTGTAATAAAATTGAGTACCATACTTCCAATATATCATATGTTTTCTATAAAAATGCAGGTATAGATGATTGACTACGAGATTTCGACATTAATTTATAATATATATTTAATTAACAATCTCTTATGCAAACACATATTTAGAATGTCTTAGAGAATCATAGAATATTCTATTCTTCCTTATGATTCAAAAAATACCAATTTAACATTTACTTAAGAACCTTCTCAAATCAATATTTATTATAATACATATTAAGCCTAAATATCAACTTAATTCCAAATTAGAATATTAAAAATGCTCCATCTTCACTTTTTTGATTTTATTAATTTGCATTATCTTAATCAATTAAATTATACATATAATACATCAATTTTCTCACATTAAATTCAGTTCTATTTATTTCATAATCAAATCTTATAGTATTTTTTTTTAGTTTGAACTTTTTTCATTTATATTAAAAATTAACATATTACTTCTTATAAAAACATTAAAATTAATTTCATATATCATTATTACTATTTAATTCTATCTGCTCTAGATCTTCTTCTTGGACATCCCCCTTCATTCTCTTAATTTTCAAATCTTTTCAATCTATCTTCTATCCCTGATTAATTCAATGATTTTAAGGGTGATATTTTGAATTATTCTTATTTATTATCTCCTCTTCTATCAAATTTTGATTTTTGTGATCTTTCTGTAATATTTTATAAACTTAGATCTCGATTTGTTTATTATAATAATTTTTCAACTTTAAAGGTTTTTGGATAATGTAAAGTTTGATCATTCTAATAATCAAATTGTAACTTTTCTAAATATCTTTAAGTTGTTAAATTATTGATTATTGTATCATCAGAATTATCTGTAATCATTTCTGAATTATTTTATAATGAATTTTACATTCTAAACCTTTGTGATTGTAATGATTAAAAAGTACTAGTATTTTATCTACATATAATACTATGCATTAATACAATGAATCATTATCTGTTAAGTATTGATATACTTTAGTTGGAAAGAATAATGTGTATACTTCCTCACTTTCTTTTGAAATTCTCTCATTTATTATATTCTTCATCTCTTCTTCATCAATTATTTTATTCTTTTCATAAATAATACCATATTTTTGAATACAACTTTTTAAATCCATTTTAATAGTGTCATCTATACCAAATTTATCTAATAATTTATTATATTGTGTAATCATATTATTTAGACAACTTTAAGACATCCCATATTTATATAGACATTTCAAATATCTTAGTTTAATTTATTTAATTTACTTACGATGTATTTTTTAATATTTTGCATCTATTATTTTTACATTTTACATCAATTAACATTATTAATTTAAAACCTATTCCTTTAAGTATTTATTTTCTCTTTCTAATTCTTCTAGCCTACTAATAAATCTATTGAGTTAAATCTGTAAATCCTTAAGGTTTTAACTATCTTACATATTAATTTTAAATTATAACAATCATTTTTTATAATCAATCATTATTTTTTGTAGTAAAAAGTTTAAAATTTTTCAAAAGAACACCAATCCTCATCTTTTACTGATTATGCCATTGTCTAAAGATTATATTCTTCAACAATACATCTAGGTCCACTTTCTATATTTTAATTCAATTAATTTATAAATAACTTATCTATATGAAAAGAATCTATTTTGTATTTTATTGGCATTTTTCTTATGAAACCCTAGAGCCAAGGATGTTATAAGATTTCTATTTTAAATATAATTACATACTTTTTCCACATAATCGTTAACTTGAATTTTTATTACACAAATTACTAATAAGATCAACTAAATTTTTTGAAAAGAAATTAGGATAATTAATTTGTTTTGACAATATATTCTTAATCATCTCTTATCTAGTTTTAGCAAAAAAAGGAGGAATCCCAGCAACCATTTCATATAGTAATATACCTAATTAATAATAATCTAATGTATAATTATGTCCTTTCAATTCTATCATCTCAGGAGCCATATATTCTAAAGATCCACAAAATGAAAAATTCAGATCCTCTTAATTTTCAACAGGTTTACTTAATCCAAAATCTACTAATTTAGGATATCCATCTAAATCAATTAAAATATTCTCTGGTTTTAAATCTCTATAAATTATATTCTTAGAATGAAGATATTGAATGGCATCTACTATTTATATAAATATCCATTTGGCTTATTCTTCACTAAATCTTTTCTGGTTTCTCAAATGATAATATAATTCTCCACCAGGACAATAATCGAAAATAAAGTATAATTTAGATTTCTAATAAATTAATTAAATATTATACAGATTAAAAAGCAGCTTGTAAAGTAATTATTCTTTTGTGATTTAATTAAATAAGAAGCTATCTTTCTTTAATAATTAATTCTTCCTTATCACTTTCTACCATTAATTATTTGTCTGTAACCTTCATAGCATAAAATTATCCATTTTCTTTATTTCTAACTAAATAAACAACAGAAAAACTGCCAGCACCTATCTTTTTTATTATTTCAAACCAATCTATATTCATAGGTTCTTTTAATCCTTTACGTATTTATGGAACAAGAAGGACTCCATTTAAGTTAGGAAGTAATAAGTGTAAACAACTTAATTAATAATCTAAGTGAATATTATTGGTTTTGAATCCAACAATATCAAATGGATCATAGTTTAAATCTAATTAACTAAATTTCCTAATAACTTCTGATAGTAGCCATCCACAAGTTACATATGGATCTCTGAGCTAAATGCCAATCCATCGATCATTGACAGTTTGAACTCTTATTACATTGATCACATTTTTAGTTGTTAATGATCTGAAAAGTTCTAATTGATGTTCTGAGTTTTCTATATTTTCACTTAATTCTTCATCATTTTGTGTTTTATGAATCGATCTGAATTTTGGTTTTAGAGTTTATATTGGACTTTTTAGAGTTTCTTATAAAGGTATTTCTGTCTGAAACATAAAATAAATTTAGAATAAAAGTATACAAATTAATAAAATGCATATAAATTGTATACATATATACATATTGTTGTTATAATTAAATCACTAATAAATAGAGGATTGTCTATTTATTAGTGATTTAGTCTTATTTAATGAATTAATTAAATTAGTATTATAATAATATCTATGTCCATTAATAATAGAGGTTTATCTAAAGAATTATAAGATCGAATTATTAATGATTTAGGCATAGTGGATTGCAAAGATTTTCATGATGGAACATGCTTGTATGCTTCTGTTGTAAGGCTACTTTAATTAATACCAAAATCGTACAAATACTATATTCCAATACATTTAATTCCATTTCTCATCTTTAAAAGGAAGAGAGTGATGTAAAGGTAGAAAATAAGTCAATTTATTAAGACCTGTAAAGACTATTTCAGTGGCAGTTTATAATTATGCTAAATCAGTTTTATTTGTATCTCTTTATGTTGCTATTTGCAAATATGCCTTATGTAAACTTAAAAACATTAGATAAAAAGAAGATGGTAGAATATAATTAATATTGATTAGGTTGGAATCCTGCCCTTGGAGCATCAGTTGCTTGTTCAGCACTTTTCTTAGAATCTGAAGGAAGAAGATAAGAAATAGCATTATTTATATTTCCAAAATCATTAGAAACTGCATGGAGATTATTAAAAAAGAGAGGATATGTATCAAATATTAAAGGTTGGGAATTGTTCTTATTTGGTCTTGCTATGGGTATCATCAACTATTTCTATCATTATGATGTAAAATTTATATTTTATAATAGGATGCAGCAATCAAATCCACTTATTTAACTATATTCAAAAACTTTTGGGGAAAAGATTGATTAAGTTACTAGTGTGTATTTGCAAAACATATTAATATATAATATCAATACTAAATTAGATCATATTTTAATAATCCTACCCTCAATTTAAGGATCTATTACTGGACAAACTTCACCACCTATTTTTGTTAATCCTTTAATAATTTTATTATAATGATTAATCTAATGATTTTTTAAATCTAATTATTCAAGTGTCTTAATTTCATTTTCATATATATCTAATAATTGTAATTCTTCATGAAATCTACAGATATCTAAGACTCTTAAAACTGTTTATAAAATTTAGATTTCTGCATTTTTATCAATAATATATTGATCATCTTATATTTTAATGAATCCATCAAAACCCATTGTAATATAACATTAACTGGCAGCCTTATATACTCTATCCATTTCTAGATCATTTCCATTTATTTTCACATTAACAATTCTAGATCCTTAAGGTTTAGTTGGATCGAATACGAATTAAATACCAGAAACTCCTAAAAATCTTCCATCAAAATTTGGCCACTTTCCAACTCTATAATATAGTTTTATATTATTTACCCATTCTCCAATATTTTGAGTAAATCTGATCCCTTAATATTAATTTTGACTATTTAATCTGGCATAGGGAATATCTTATCTAATTCTTTATAAGTAATAATTCCTTTATGTACAACATCGTCAGCTCTAAGAGTACCACTATTAAAGAAAGAGATTTCAGCATCTAATTCATATCTTAAGATATCTGCATAGAGATTAGCTAAATTAGTTTCTTTGTTTCTAACTTCATGAAAAGTACATTCTAAATCACAATTAGCATAGCATACAACTTTTGATTTCTCTATTTAATAATTAATTTAATATTCATACAATTATTATATTCTTCAATTTTCATATCTACATATTATTTCATATCTTAATTTTATGGTATTGAATTAATAATATTTATAATGGAAACTTAAATATGAAGATCTGAATTTAATGTTAAATCTCTTTATAATTCAAGGATTTATTTTTCATTAGTTAAATTATCATAAATAAAATTATTGATTAAATCTTTGTTTACAATTTCATTTAAACTAATTCTAATGATACCTAAATTCTTAAAATTAGTTCCACTCTTCATAAATAGACTTTATTTAATCTTTTCACAATAAATCATATGATCATGTCCTCCAAGAACTAAATCAATTTTCTATTCAACAAGATGATGAATCAAATTATGATCATTAGGAACTCTCATATGAGTTAACCCTATTATCAATACACATTTTTCTTCTTCTCTTAAATATTTAACAGTTCTCTCTGCACAATGTAAATAATCTTCATAGGCAATTAAATTCTAAGGGATTTCTACTATTTAACCAAGCCATTCTTCTTCTGCCAATCCTACAAATCCAATTTTTATAGGTTGAATTCCAATAGTACATTATTTTGTAAAATAGGGTAATGTATGGGCAAAGTTTTAATTGGTTTCTGCATTAAAGACATTTGATAAAACCCATGGTATATTTGATCTTTAAAATAATGATTCAACATGATCTAATGTATAATCAAAATCATGATTTCCTGGACATGCAACATCAATTTTAAATTATTAAATTGGAAACAACATTTGATCACCTGAAAAAATAGAACTTATAATATAGTACCCCTATATATATTTGATAAAGCAGATGGTGCAAAGATGTCACCACTAAAAAGAGTAAGCGTGTTGAAATTTTTTTACAATTAATTGAGGACATACAAAAATCTAGAAGCACCTCCAACAGGATCTTTGACTTATTCTTGAATATCGTAAACATCATTAAAATGAAGTATATACAAGTCATTATTCAGCATGTTTTAATAAAGTATTAAATTGAAAAATAATCAATAATTAAAATTAATAATTAATTAATAAAAAAAAGGGTTGTCAACACGAGGACTTCCCAAGCGGTCCCCCACCTTAGTACTAACCTCGCCTTAAGCCGCTTAACTTCGGAGTTCGAATGGGATCCGGTGCTTTAGGCTTAGTATGGCCGACAACGATATTTATTGTAATGTTTAGTATTTAAAGGGTTGGTTTTATTATTATTATAATATAAATATTGGTTCATTCAGAATCATATTCTACAAGTTTTACCTTTTTTTATACAGTAGGTTCTGGTATATTATCATCATCATCATCATTTACAAGAGGTTTAAAACTTTTAAGATATGGATTTTTAATTTATTATAAGTTATTTTCTTCTTTATCAACATTTTTAGTTTCTTCCTTATTATTTTAATGTTTTAGATCTTCTAAAAATTAAGGAGGTTTAATCTTTAATTTGACTACATTGATAGAACCAACAGAGTAAGATTTATCAGATGTTTATGATTCTTTTTATACAACAATTTAAGGAGTGCTATCAATAGTTAATTCAGATCTTCTTTATTTAAATTATTTAATATGCTCTCTTTCAATTTTTATTTTTCTATTCTCAATTTCTCTTAATTAACCATAATATTAAAAAAAATCAAAATCTTCTTCATTAAATATTTCCTATTTAAATCCACTCTCTTCAACATACTCAAGATTATCTAAAAAAATTGATAATTGATAATACCTTCATCTGTTAATGGTTTTGTCTTCTCATAAATATTAGGTTTGGTTTATTTTTTCCTTTGCATTTTAGTTACTTCTGGTCTAAGTAATTAATCTAGTTTTTCCTATTCAACCATTTATTCTGTAAGAGTCATAAAGGATAACTTTTTCTCTTAAACTTGGATTGTCTAATCACGCTTCACTTCCTAAAATTCTAATCCATCTTTGGATGTCAAAATAGAATGAGAAACAAATTTATTAGTCATAATATATTAAATCAAAATATTTGAAATAATTTATAATCAAAATAATATTCTCATGTGGAATGTACATAATAAGGAAACTTCCAGAAATAATTATTTTATTAAAAATGACACGTCTAGTTGCATTATGTACAATTCTCCTATTGTTAAACTCAACATAGGCTTACTTTACCGATAAATCACATAGATAATAAGCTCAAGAATTGATTAACAAATTTGTCTATGGATTTACATAAAATTTTGATGCTCTTTCTGCAGAAGGTCTTGATCATATAGGAAACATGAAACTTGCATTTGACTATTGGATAACTAAATTCAAAGTTCATGGTTTCGACTAATTGAATGTAATTCATTTCATTAATAAAAATAGGTCAATTTTNACGATATTTATTGTAATGTTTAGTATTTAAAGGGTTGGTTTTATTATTATTATAATATAAATATTGGTTCATTCAGAATCATATTCTACAAGTTTTACCTTTTTTTATACAGTAGGTTCTGGTATATTATCATCATCATCATCATTTACAAGAGGTTTAAAACTTTTAAGATATGGATTTTTAATTTATTATAAGTTATTTTCTTCTTTATCAACATTTTTAGTTTCTTCCTTATTATTTTAATGTTTTAGATCTTCTAAAAATTAAGGAGGTTTAATCTTTAATTTGACTACATTGATAGAACCAACAGAGTAAGATTTATCAGATGTTTATGATTCTTTTTATACAACAATTTAAGGAGTGCTATCAATAGTTAATTCAGATCTTCTTTATTTAAATTATTTAATATGCTCTCTTTCAATTTTTATTTTTCTATTCTCAATTTCTCTTAATTAACCATAATATTAAAAAAAATCAAAATCTTCTTCATTAAATATTTCCTATTTAAATCCACTCTCTTCAACATACTCAAGATTATCTAAAAAAATTGATAATTGATAATACCTTCATCTGTTAATGGTTTTGTCTTCTCATAAATATTAGGTTTGGTTTATTTTTTCCTTTGCATTTTAGTTACTTCTGGTCTAAGTAATTAATCTAGTTTTTCCTATTCAACCATTTATTCTGTAAGAGTCATAAAGGATAACTTTTTCTCTTAAACTTGGATTGTCTAATCACGCTTCACTTCCTAAAATTCTAATCCATCTTTGGATGTCAAAATAGAATGAGAAACAAATTTATTAGTCATAATATATTAAATCAAAATATTTGAAATAATTTATAATCAAAATAATATTCTCATGTGGAATGTACATAATAAGGAAACTTCCAGAAATAATTATTTTATTAAAAATGACACGTCTAGTTGCATTATGTACAATTCTCCTATTGTTAAACTCAACATAGGCTTACTTTACCGATAAATCACATAGATAATAAGCTCAAGAATTGATTAACAAATTTGTCTATGGATTTACATAAAATTTTGATGCTCTTTCTGCAGAAGGTCTTGATCATATAGGAAACATGAAACTTGCATTTGACTATTGGATAACTAAATTCAAAGTTCATGGTTTCGACTAATTGAATGTAATTCATTTCATTAATAAAAATAGGTCAATTTTGATGTAGATCATGACATATTGGAAATTAATCTACCTACAGTTAATTTAGATATCATTATAGAAGACAAATATACTATTCCTGTAAAAATAGAGAAGTAAATTGAAATATAATGATTTCTAGCTTAAGTGCCTCAATAATATTTGATATTGAACCAACTCGTTTCAGATGTACTGGAGTTGAATTTGATTATGAAAATCTGTCTTTGGATGTTAATTTAGTTGTCCAATATTTTAGTAAAATGTTATTGTCACTTGATATGTTAAAAAATGCTATCAAGTAAGCTGAATTACCCATAAGAAATGTTATTGTTTAAACAATAAGAGTATTTTAATTTATTATTAATTTAGAGTAATTATGAAAGACTTTTTTAATTACTCTAAGATTTAAAGGCAGGATAATATGATGCAGATGCTCTTTTAGCTAAACTTCCATAAGTTCATCATACAAGAATTGAAAATAGAGAGTTAATCATTAATGTTAGATCCATTTTTGGATATGAATCTTAAAGAGAAAAGGAAAAAAAAGTAGATTTATGAAATAGAGTATATATATATATATATAATATGTTATTTATATTTTATCATTATCTAATTTTAAATTTTATCAGATTTTAATTATAAATTTATATATATTATGAGTATTGACTATTCATATTTAGCACCTCCTTTAGGAGCTCATTCAGTATAACACACAGGTACTCAGAACCACTATTCAATACCTAGATTATTATATTAAACATCATGAAAGAGAAAAAGGAGCTCGTAAAATTTACGATTGTGTTCCTTATGATTCTTTTGAACAAGAAAAGATTAAAGAACTCAAATAAGAAATCTAAAAATTAAATATATAGCTTCCATCAGAGTAATTATTTTCTTTTATATATCAGTTGGAAAGAGAGTGATTATTTAAAAATTGGCTACTCAGGTCGCTTTAAAATGAAAGAAGTTATTAAAGTAAATAATGAAATCATCACACCTTTAGAAATTGCAATTACATTTAGCTTGGAGAGCCAATCCAATATATCATTAAATTAATCCAGCAACTGAAAAATTTCTCAAAGATGGTATCTGTTATGTATTTGGAAGAGACAAACAATATCGTCCTATTGTTATATTGAATGCGCATTTAATTGATTTAAAAAAAGTATAAACAAAACTATATTTTATATAGTATGATAAAGAAACGATAATTTAGGCATTGTCATTTTAAATGGGAATTATAAAAAAATATATGTTCATTCATGGTAAAGTTGAAAATTGGATATTTTTATTGGAAAGTAATGGTTTAGGAGTTTTTGGTTTGCCAACAAAAGCATTATAAGTGGTTATTGATACTATGAGCACTAATTTTGGTGGCTGTTTAGAAAAGATGTTCATTTTAAATCCATCAACTGGTTTGAATTTTTTATGGAAAACTATATCTGGATTTTTAGATCCTGAAACTGCAGAAAAAATAAATTTTTTATAAAAGAAAGAATTTATGAAATTACAGTAAATTATTGATTCAAATCAATTAGAATAAAAATATGGTGGTACATAACCAAATTAAACTACATTCTGGTATCTATATCTTATTTAAATAGGCCCCCTTATAATTTAGATTTAATTGATGGAAGAAATGTTCCTAAATAAAAATAACAAATTGATTAGTTTATTCCTTTAAGAAATGATGAAAAATAGATTTAATAAAATGATGATCCTTATGATAATGTTGAAAATAATGTAAATGATTTTTTTGAAAATCAAAAGAGATTGTATAATTTTGATCAAAAGAAGTCAGCTGAATTTGGATAAGTACATTAAAATGATGATAAAGAAGAGGAATAACCTTAAAAATAAGAATTGAATGATTAAGATTAATAAAAAGAAAATGATTAAATTCATCAATTTCTCGGATAAGATAATTAATAGCAGTAATAAATTGAATAAAATCATAATGACTAAAATCTCTAATCGAATTAACATTAATAAATTGTTGAGGAGAGCAAAGAAGTGGAAAATTAACATTAAAACAATGAATAAAAAGCCGGATAAATTTCTAAATAAGAACCTGAATAAGAAGTTTAGAAATCACCTGAATAGTAAGATGATTAATAATAATAATAATAATAATAATAATAATAATAATAATAATAATAATAATAATAATAATAATAATAATAATAATAATAATAATAATAGAATCAAGAGTAAACTCAAAAAGTTGAATCTGATGTTAATAATAAAAATTAACATGAAGAAGAACTATAAATTGTAAGCAATGCATCTGCAACAAAAATCATATAACCAGAAGAGGTTTAAGGATAAAATGTTGAAATAACTTAAGTTGATCCTGTTTCCAATACCGCTTGTTGTAAAAGTTGTGAGATATTCTGAGATAATTTATAATCAAATTTTAATTATTATTTAAAAAATCAAAAATATTGTTGTTGTTAACTTAATTAGATATAAAAAATATTCAAGATTTAGATAAATTAGAATTATTAAAAATCAATATAATTAAAAAAATGAATAAATATATTCATGAATCTTACAGTGAAATTGTTATTTGTATATTATTAAGATAATATTTAGAAATCAGATGGCTTAAATTAATATGAATTAATGGTTAGTCAATATAATGTTAATGTTTTACAAGTTGTATTATTTAAATGTTGTTGAATAATAATCTAGAAGATAAGATTTTGATAATATTAAATCAATAACACAATAATGATTATCCATAAAAGATTGATCAATTTATTCATCCCCACGTAGTACCTAAACAAAATATAGTAAATAATTATATGAAATTTCGATTACAGATTAAAATTAAAAGAACCTTGAAGATCATTAATAATCTACAAATAATAATATTTTATATTCTAAATTGATGATTATCAAAATAAAGTTAATAAATGATCAAATATTTCAATGAGAATCAATATATATTTTATTTTTTAACTGATAAATTAAATGAACTCAAAACAATAGCATATGACAGTATGTCCAGCTTTACTAAAGGGAGACGATTAGCCAGATGATTTTCCACTTAGAGCTCAAAATAGTAATGTGCCAAAAGTAGTGGTTTAAAAAAAGATTATGATTTAACCAAATAATGAAATATTATATGAGAGGTTGAATTAAGAGGCAGAAATTTTTAAATAGAATAATTAAATGTTAAAAGATTACTATGAATAAGAAGAATTGAGACCTTGTTCATTTGCTCCTTAAACATTAAATGACGGTTAGGAAAAAAGATCACTTTATTAATTTTTATTTGATTAACAGAATCATGTTCTTAAAATAGAATAAAAATTAGAGTAAATCAAATAAAATGAAATGGAACGAGATTTATAACATCCTTATCATCCAAAAACTAATGACTTTAATTTTTAATCTAGAGATGAATCTATTCCTACTTATGAAAGATTATATAATCTAAACTAAAAGAAACCATCTGAACCAAAAATGTAATAATCAGAATCAACAGTTGATTTCAAACCTGTAATATAATAGAAATCCTCAAATATAGTTAGAAATTAAAAAATTGAAGATATCCTTTATTAAGATGCATAAAGAAGATAACAAAAATAGAAGGATGCATAGGATAAAAAGAATGCGCCTAAAGTTGTAACAGTAAATGTTAAATATACATCAAATAATAGTGAGAAAATAGTAGCTTAAAAGTTTATTCGAGAATTTGAAACAGTAATAGATTGGATATTTGATTAAACAGGATAAGAAAGACCTTCTAATGTCTCTTTTTCAATTGATTATTTGAAATTAGGAGAAATACTTTAAAGATTAGATTTCCTTAATTAATTATAAGCTAAAGAAAACAATGAAAAAGCAGTTGAATATGAAAATTTAAGATTATCAGAGGAAAGAGCTTTGTTGTGTGAAATATGGACAGTTTTAAGAGGTGATGAATTAGGAGGTATTAGTAAAAGAAATCTTTGTTTGTTTTTATTAACATTAATTGGAATTACAGATTTCAAAATAAAAGAATTACCATCAGCATAGAATGAAGAATTACCAAATTATTAAAAATCCATTTAACCTTAATAACATAAAATTGTTACTGCACATCAACCTAATGATAGACCTAAATTAGGAACTATAGACAAAGATGGAAATATAATATTTACATTTGAAGAAACAAAGAAAATATAAAAATAATTTGATATCTTATATAGAAATAGATTAGGTTGTGAAGAATTGAAGAAATCAAATTGGAAGGATGAAAATCCTTATAAACCATAAATATTGGCTTAATCAAAATAATTAGCTAATTAATATAGAGAGAAATTATTAGAAGAAACTGCTAATTTAATTGATAATTAATTAATTAAAGTCAATATTCCTGAAAATGGTTAGATTACTCATGCTGATCTATTAGTATTATAAAAGAAAGCAGTGGATTATCATAAGGAATAAAAGAAATAAGAAATATTGTAATAATAATTAGATAAATGTCCATTTAAACCACAATTATTGAATAATTAAAATAATGATGAGAGAAAAAGTACATCAAAAAAATAAGAAAAATATTTATAATTATATTCATTAGCCAAACCATCTACTTAAAAAAGAGATAGAACAACAGAAGAGATTGAATATGAAAAATAATTAGAAGAATGTACATTTTAACCTGGTTTATAAACTAAAAATAATTAATCTATTTAATAAAAATAAGATAATCATTATGTAAATAAAGATGTTGATAAAACTGTTTAAAGAATGAAATAAGCAAGATAAAGAAGAGAGGAAGTATAAGGAATGTTAGAGAGAGGATATAAAAGTAATAAAGGAACTTAAAATTAATAATAATAAGTTTAATCTATTTAATAAAAAAAGGATAGTAGAAGTGAATCATAAAATTAAATTAAATAAACATCTCAATCATCTAGATAGAAGAGTATGTAATCATAAGATTCTTAATAAATGAATACTTTTCAATCTTAGAATTTCCATATGGATGAATCTTAACCAAAAGAAGAATAAAGTATTGTTAGAACTGGTAGCTGTAATATATAAAATATAAATTAATAGAATAAGATGAAAGAATACCATTATTATTTGTCGATGTGAATTTGGGACCAAGTAAAACTGAAAGAATAGTAGTTTATGAAGGAGATTAATCATCTGATTTAGCAGCTAGATTTGCTCATGAACATAGTAATAATTATTATTAAATTATTAGATTTAGATGAATTTATGTAAGAAAAATTAAAAGAATTGCTTGATTATTAAATAAGTGGATTATTGACAAAAATAGATGAAGAAGAAGGAGCATTAAGTGAAAATGATTAATGATTTATATATATATATATACTAATCATAAAATTTATATAAGAATTAAATTAAATTAATCTCTAAGAATATTAATAAAAAATTGTTATAAATTAAGATAAATTTATGAAAAGAACTAAAGAAACATTTTTTAGAGAATATCAATATCAATATTTATGTTGTAGATTTTTGTAATGATTCAATTCATATCATAAGAATATGATTTTTGGAATAAATATAATAAGATCTTTGATTAGATTCAAGAAAAAGAAAGACAAAAATTAGCAGAATTTGCAAAAGAGATTTATTACTATATTTAGGTTTTAAATAGACTTATAATGGATGATAATTATGAATAAATCAAATTGTTGATTTTTGAAGAGAATTCAAGTATTCTATGTCATCTCCTACAATTTCCATTATCTCCTTAGCACTTTGAGTGGGGAATAATTCTATCAATGTCTAAGCTATTTCTGGTCTTATTCCCAATAATTCGCATAATTCCAAAATAATAGGATTGGTGGATTCATTTAAGTGAGGTTCCTAAACTTGTTATGGTAAATCAAACATGGAGGAATTAGGTAATCCAATAGACATCTAAAAAGAAAGTTCCATCATCTAATCGATTTAGGTTCTTGAAGTATTTTCTTATGGTAAATCTTATTTATCATCCTAATTATTTAAATTATTTAATACAATAGCTGTCACTAGAATTGAAGGAGCCTATTCTGGTTTTCTAATTTTCAACATAGCATGTTTATGTGTGCCTAAATCTTCACATTTTTCACAAAAATCAAAGTCTTAGCATATTGGGCACTATATTGTTATTTGTTAAATTTACTTTATATCTGATTCCTAGAATTGGAAACATTTTACATCTATCACACATAATTTTCTCATGTACTATTTTATTAGTTTCTCTGACTTCTACTTAATTTTTTTTATTAATTGATAATGTTTCTATATCTTTTTAAACATCATCAGTAGTTATTTATAATTTAACTTATTTAGTAATCTCAGGGATTAGTACCATAACTTGCTGGTTAACTATTTATTTTATATGTTCTTTTCTGTTTTCTCTTTTGTGATATTATTATTCTTTCTTAAATCCTCCATCTTGAACTTCTCGTACATAACTACAATAAGTGAATAAATATTTACAATGTTACTAATTTATTATCCAATTAACATTCCCTTATGGTTTATAAGTCAGAATCACATGTGACATCAATCATATCTCCATCAAGATCTTCATATTGAAGTGTGAACTAATTAGGGAGGTTGTCAATTCTTAAAGGAAGTCTTTTTAGAATTTTTTTAATGTTAAGTTCAGATAATGGTCTTTTGAAAGTCCATGATTACTTATTACATATAACTTAAAGCTACATTTTGATTATAAAATATTATTATTATTGTGTTATATTAAATACTGGTGTGACTTATATAAATACAAATCAAATTAAAACTTTATTATTAATAATTATTTGTATTTAATAATCTATTGGGAATGTATCCGTACCTGATAATTTAATTTTTACTTATTAAAATTGCTATTAAAATAATACATTTTATTACTTTAATAAAATATAATCTAACTCCCTTTTCATCCTCAGGATCATTATAAGAAATAATCAATTCATATTTATTTTCTTCATATTCCTCATATGTAAATTTATATGTATTCTTTAAATTCTTTAATTCAACTTTCTAAAATATTTATAAATAAATATACTCTTTCTAAATTGAATTTTGGGATGATAACTTCAATTTGTTATTTATTAACTGAGAGAATATATCCATCTACTTCAACTGGATTAGCCTTTAGAAGCAAAGCTAAAAATAACTAAGAATAAATTTATTAGACATACTTAATCACATTAATCACTAACTCTTCTTGAATTTAATTTACAATCATTACAATGTTACATAATAGCTTTTAATTTATCTCTTGTTTCTCCTGTTTGATCAATTTCTTATTATTCAAGAGCAATTTATAACCTTCTATGTACTAAAACATCAGGATATCTTCTTATTGGAGATGTAAAATGTGTATATACATCAAAATCTAAGGCATAATGTCTCCATTCAAATTCAGGAGTATCATCAACAACAAAATATTGAGCTGCTTCCATTAATTTTAATAGACGGAATCCTAAAATCAATTTAATTTCTTCAGATTCAATTTCATTTACTTTAGCCATAGTTAATTTTAAATTTCTAGATGTTGATACATCCAAATTTTTAGCCATCTCTTCTAATCCACATGCTTCTAATAACTTTCTATAATATTCTAATTTTTCAGCTTTAGGTGATATGTGTTATCTAAGAATAGCTGTTTTACTATCATATTCAATCAATTTCTTTCCAACAAATTAATTAGCCAACAACATCCATTCTTCTACCATAAATTAAGCTAATCCTCTCTTTTCTTCTGTATAACCAGTAGGAAACAAATCTCCATTAAGAATGAATCTTAATTTGCTTTTATCAAATGTTAATGATCCATCCATTCTCTTTTCTCTTCTCTTTTATGCAATAGTATTTAACAATAAAATTTTATCTTTCAATACATTTTCATCAAATCCTTCAGAAACTTTATATCTTGCTTCTCCTTAACTAAAATATTGAATTTCACCATTAATTAATTAATTTACTATATCATAACTTAATTATGCACAACTTTTAATAACTGATTTAGCAGCTCTAAAACTATCCCATAACACATCTCCTTCACTTGTCATCTTAAAGAATACAGAAAATGCTAATCTTTCAACATCCCTATTCAATGAACATAATTCTTCACAAAGAATTCTGGGTAACATGGGAATTACCTTATGAACTAAATAAACAGAAGTTGTTCTTAATATTGCTTCTTTATCTACTTCACTATTGGGAAGAACAAAATGAGAAACATCAGCAATATGTACTCCAATCTCATAAACTCCATTTCCTAAATCATTAATACTCAATGCATCATCCAAATCTCTTGCAGTAACAGGATCTATACTACAAATGTATTCTTTAGTCAAATCCATTCTCTTCACTCTTTCATTTGCTATAGAATCATGAGTAAATGCCTTCATTTCTTCTTTACAAATATCTGAAAAATCATTGTCATAAACTGAATTCTCTGTTAATATAGCTTCACATTCTACATCAATATTTCCTTAAACTCCTACTTCTTTAATTAATTCAACAATTGGATATTTACTATTTTTTGCCCATGATAGATACTTTGCTGAAAAATATCTTTATGACACATAATCCATGAATTTCTATACAGGTTCTTAATTATCCAATTCATAATTAAAAGTAAGTAATTGTTTCACATTGAAAAATGGAATTCTTTTATTAACACATTTAAATGAGACATAATAATTCTTTTCAATATAATTTATTAATTCTTCTTTAGTTTTTATTTCTTTCTCAAATAATCCATGTTTTTCATTAAAACATATCTTTCCAATCATCTATCTATTTTCTAATGGATTTTTTCTTATTCCCACAATCTTACCTATAAGTTGAGCCTTTTATAATTTTTAAATCTTTGTTAATGGGACCTTCTTTTTAACAACATAGAGATCTGATACTTCTGAAATATCATCCTCTTATTCATCTTGGCTATTTACATCCTCCCAATCATCATCATTCTCTTCACTTTCACGTATCTTTTACTATGTTTATTCCTATTTTTGTTCTTTTGTTTTCTTTACTGGCATTTATTCAGTTATTATCTCTTCTTCAAAATCATCATCTGATTCATCTTTACCTTTTTATATTTTTGTAATTTTGAATGCAACAAGAGATCCATGTAATGCTCTATTAGTTTCAACAAAGGCTAATATTTAGTATAAAAATCTTACAATTAATATGTACTTTCTTCTTAAAAATAGGACATTTAATAGTACCCTTCTCTCTTGTATATTCATTGGCTATGAAAATTCCTTCAAAAATTTCATTTTCTGCTTTTCCTTTTTCAATTTATTATTCAGTCCAATATTATTCAAAATCTTAATTCTTCTTATTTTTTTTATTGTTTTTTCCACCTTTATAATATTTCTTATTATTATTATTTCTTTTATCATTTTTATCTTAATAACCATATTCATTAAGTCCATATTCATTAAGTCCATAATCATCATTATCTCTTCTTTATTATCTTTATCTTTAATTTTTCTCTTCTTTTTTTATATTATAATCATCATCTAATGAATTGCTATCATCTAATCTATTATAATCATCATTAAAATGATTATATTTATAATAATTGAATTTTCTTTAATTAAATTACTTATTCTAATCTGATTACGTTGATTTAATATGTTTTTCTGCTCTTCTGTTCCTTCTTACTTATTTATAGTGAACATGTTCATTTAATTAGTTATTATTTTTATTATTGTTATTTCTTTTTGTTTAATTATTTTATTAGTTATTATTATTATTATTATTAGTGGTATTTTATCTATTTTATTAATTATTAAAATTATTTCTCATTTCTTTGTTATTATGATTATCATTCACTACCTTATTATCATGATTTGTTTATCCTTATATGTAGGGATAAACAAATGGTTAATCATTATTTTGAGACTAAGTTTTTTTTTAATTAGTAGTACCTTATTTTTCAGTTTATCTATTTCCAGTGTGTTATTATTTATTTTATTACCCTTAATTTTTTTAATTGTATTATTTATTATTGTTACTTTCTTAAAAATTATTACTTTATTAATTTTTTTCTTTATTATCACCCTATTCTCTTTATTCATTTTATCTTTATTTTTATTATCCTTATTATTGATTTTGTTTTAGTTATTATTTCTCTTATTGATTATCTTATTATTTTTAAATATCTTATCGTATTTATCCACGAACTTCAAATTTATCTTTTACTTAATATGTGTATTTTTCATTCGCCTTCCCTTATTTATTCTATTCTTTAGGAACATATTGGATATTGTTTTATTCACAATAGTCCTTTCTTAAACTTTCTTCTACTAGATGTCTATCTTTTTTCTTAAAATAATAAATGACAATACCTTGACTACTGCTTTCATGGCCTGCATCTAATTTTTCACATAATCATCTTCTAAGTTCATTTTTTTTTATTATTTAATTAAAGAATTATTATTTTAATTGTCAACTATTACTTAATAAACTTAAAATTGCTAATTTAAATAAATTATTTATAATCAAATGGACCGAAATTAAGTATAATTTTTTTATTTTCTTTAATAATTTTCAATAAAAATTATGAAACTTAAATACAACATTATTAAAAAATAATTGATTATTATAATCTTAATATAGCAGTAAAAAAATAAATCAAAAATTATAGTGCTTTTAACTAATAATCTATTTAAATTCTATATATATAATTAAATATATTATAATATTTAATCATAAAATAATAGGTTAATAAATAACAAAAATTAATAACTTGTATATTATAGTATATCATTGATGATGTTTATTTTTCTTAATTGATGGACATTTGTCTGGCTATCCAATTTTGACCATCCTAATATTTGATAATTAGATAAGATATGATCCATCTAATTAAGGATCAAATGAATAAAGATTAAACTCAGCTGTAGTTGGAATATAATTTTATTTAGTAAATTCTAATCTCATTTCATTTTAAATTTAACTATTCAATATATATATAGATAAATACCTTTTTAAGATTTAATGTTTTATAACAAAGAGACCATCTTTGTCACTCTTTGTTTCAATTTTAAGATCTGCATAAGAAATTCCATTCCATTATTTAAGTTTAATATTGACTTCTTCTAATCCTTTCCATTCTAATTTTGAATTGCAATCAAATTCAGCAATTACTGCACCATTAATAATAGAATATTGATAATATTTAGTAAGTTATGCTTTGAATTGTTCTGTTACTTGAGCTTAATTTGTAATCTTAACAACATCACTATTGGGATTTATTTTGAATCTACTATTTGTTTATTAAAATTTTGCCGTTTCATGTGAAATAAGTAAGCAATCAACATTAGAATTAGCATTCATTAACATCTTCCATTTGAATTAATATGCTCCTGTAGAATCTGTATTTGTTTTAAGATCAATAGGTACTTTATTTTCACCAAAAGCATCACACTATAAACTCACTGGAACATTAGATGGGAATATACCTCCCTCAGATGTTATTTTACCATCAATTTCAAATGGAACAAAATCATCAAAATATTATTTTGGGAAAGTCATTTCAGATTTCTCATTATTTGTTTAAAAGGCTTATGTAACTTTATGATTTTATCCACTTGCATCATTAAAAGATTCAGTCAATTGATATTTGGTTTCAAATTGTAATTAATCATCTAATATAGACCATTTACCATCTGATCCAGTTTTAGCTTCTAATTCTTTAGTAACAGGATCTGAAGTTAATTTAACATTCACACCTGATTAACCTTTACCTTTAGGTCCAATAATCTCTCCTCCCACAGTTAATTTTGTGTTAGTTGGTGCTAATTCATATTTAATTTTCACTGGAGGTAAAGATATTGCTGGACCAGAACATGAGAATTAAATCTTATCAGATTTTACATCTCTATATTTATCAGCTTTAACATCTAATATAAAAGACTCATCCACATTTTTATAACAAGGAACCTATAAACTAAATTTTCCAGCGGAATCAGTTTTTCCTGTTATTTAAGTTTTTTCATTTCCTTTAACAGTAGGCTATAAGGATTCAATTGTCAATGTAGAAGCAGGAGGTGTTTTACCTGATGGATCTGTAATTGTTGAAGTAAGAGTTGCTTAAAGAATGATTCTATCCATTGTTGTATCATGAGATATACTCTATACTTTATCAGCTTTAATCTGAATATTTGAAGATTTATATGGATTAAAGTCTGAATTAGTTATTGAAATAACAGCTGTATAAATTTAATCTTGGACAGCACCAAAACTTAATGAATATTTACCATTTAAATCTGATTTTGTTTACAAATTTGATGCTAAAGGATCAGCAGGATTTAGTATTATTTCTATTTGAGCATTCTATACATTTTTTGTTACTCCACTACTATCTGTCAACACACCAGAAACAGTAATTTAAACAGATTTTGTAGACACTACTATTGGTTTAAGTTTAAGGTCTTTTTCTCCACAAGTAAATACTTAAGGAGATAAGGCAGTTTTAGGATATACATCAGATTCCATATCCATTTTTAAAGTAGTGGATACTGAATTATAACATTAAAATGGTAATTAGAAATCTCCTTTAGGAGCAGCTGAATATTTATTATATAATTAAGTATTTGTCATTTGAGGGTCTGAACTTAAAATTTCAATTTTAGAATTAGAAATTGGTTTTTAATTCATATCAACTAATTATCCACTAATAGTACAATCTATAATAGATCTTATTAAAGTAATATCCTTTGAAATACTTTATTTATCTTCTTTACCAATTAATTATAATTTTTCATTAACAATATTAAATTACGGTTATGCATCAATGTTGATTGTAGCTTCATAATTTACACCTCTTACAACTTCAAAAATTATAGAATATGTTCCATCATTAATACTTTTATTAATAATAGGTTAATTTGATATTGGATCTGATGGTTTTAATGTTAATGTAATTTTTAAACCAGGTAATTTATCTTCCAATTTTTAATTATCAATTAATTTACCTGATATTGTAAATGTAGTAGTAACTAATTTAGATTTTATTGAAACTCCTTAAACTTAAAATTTTGGTGCTACTAATTCTACTTTTTATGTAGTTTCTTATAGAGAATCTTTAGTTTTTAAAATACATTCTATTTTATCATCATGTTTAGCTAATATTTATAAAGGAATATCAAAATTTCCATTATTATCAGTTGAGAAATCTTAATTGATATCAGCCCCTTTTGAATCTTTAAATTTGGGACAAGTCAAATTGATTTTAACTGGTGAACTTAAAGTTCCTTTTTCTAAATCTATTTTTCCTTATATTTTTGCATTCACAACACTTTAATAATTAATATCTGGAATTGGAACTTTTTAGTTATCACTTTGAATTGTGAATTTCTATTCAATTTTTTACTTTTATTTATTGATATCTATATAAGTAATTATTGCTTTATATTCTGTATTAGGATATATCTTAGGATCAGTTATAGTCCATGTTCCATCTGTTTATGTCTTAGTTTCTAGATTTGCACTTTCAGGATCTGTTATTAAATTCAATGATAAGTTAGGTACACCATCTCCATGAGGATCTATAACTTTACCTGATAGAATAGCTTTAATTTATATTTTCTCCAAAATTAAAGTAATTGGAGTTAATTCAGTTAATGCTTATGAACATTTAAATTTGGAACTCTTTATATTTTATTGAACATATTGAGGTACATCTATCTATAAATCAACTACATAATCAAATTCTTTATAACATTCAAAATCCAAAAAGAATGATCCTTTATCATCATCTTTAACTGGTAAATTGTAATATTTAGAATCTTTCATAATTGGATCAGATGATGTCATTTTAACAGATGCATTAATTATTGGCTTTTTATCAGTACCACTTAATATAGAATGTAATTTTGTCAACATTCGAATTCTATCTATTTCAATATTTTCAGTCAATGTTTCTGATTTTAAACATTTTTCTTCAATTCCTTTCTTTTCATATGGAGTAAATAGTGGGTCCTTTTTTGCTTAAATCTCAAATTTTAATGGATATGCTTAAACAGCTTTAAATTTAAATTCATATGACCCATCTTTTCCTGATTTTGTTTACAATAGTGATTGAGTAGTACCCTAAAAATGTCTTTTAAATAAAATATATGACTCAAGTAAATGTTTACCTGGATTTTAAACATAAACATCTTGAGGAGTGATTATTAAAGTAATATCAACACCTTCAACTGTAGTTATTGTTTTAGTTTTATCACTTACAACACCTTTTAATATGATATCAACAGTATTATAAGTTACAGGAATATTTGTATTGCTACTCCAAGTGGGAGCAGATACTTTAACATCAACTTTTATTGGTTGCACAGGTGAAGCAGTATTGGTACTACTATTACTACCAGTACTTCCACTACCTGTACCAGCACCAGTACCTGTACTTCCACTACCTGCACCATTACCAGTACCTTCACTACTTGCACCTGTACCAGTACCTCCAGTACCTCCACTACCTGCACCAGTACCTGTACTTCCACTACCTGCACCAGTACCTCCACTACCATTATTGCCATTTGTAACTACACATGATAATGGTTTATCTGCTCCTACTAAAACTTCAACATCTACTGAATATGATCCATCTTCTTTTGTAGTAGTTTCTATAACAATTGGTTTCCCATCTTTTCCTTTACCATCGCAAGTAATGACTAATGGCAATGGAATAGCTGCTTTGCCATCTCCAGGTACTATTTTTCCAGCAATTTTAGCTTTAACATATTTTTGAAATCCAATAACTGGAAAGTTGAAAGTTTACTCTTTATCCATCGTAGGAGTAAATGTCTAAATTACTTATACTAATTATTTGATGTCATTAGTATATTCAATAGTAAATTTATAAGTTGTTGTAGGGATAACAGTTAACTTTTCAATCTACCAATTACCATTTGCATCAGTAATTAAGTTAGGATTAGGAACATCTAATACTGGATCTGACTTAAACTTAAGAGCTATTCCTTTCATAGGTTTTGAATCCACATCTATAACTTATCCTTTGATTAATAGAATAGCTGTCTATTTTGACAATGTCATAGAATATTTCACTAAATCTTAATCTTTACATTCTAAATCTCCTGTTTTATATGTTACAGGTACAAATTAAGGTACTTGGAATACAAATGTTGCTTAAAATTTTATATCTTCGTAACAACTAAATGGATATTCAAATGAACCACTATTTATAAATTAGATTAATTTACTCTGCATTATCAATAATCTCCTTATTATATAGAGTCTTATCTGGCATTGTTGGATTACTCTCAACAATTTTTACAATTGCATTTTAAATAGGTTTACCACTTGGATCAAGTAGTTTATCTTTTATTTTTATATTTTTTATTGTTCTATCTAAAACTACATCAAAAATTATCTATAGAGGTTATTTAGAAGACACATTAATTTATCTTGGAGCAGTTATTTTATTCATAAATCCTTTAGCATTTACTGTTGCTTTTAATTATAAATCTTTATTAGCAGGTACATAGATTTCAGCCTTGAATTTACCTTGAGCATCTGTAATAGCTGATACAGGTTCAATGCTGTCTAAAATTGTAAATGTAATTGTTGCTCCTTATACAAACTAAACTTATTTTGATGAATCAGTGATAATTCCAGAAATCTAATCATATATCTACTTAACATACTTATAAATCTCCAGATGCTTCTTATAATATTATAATCCCTAAATCATGAGAGAATTATTCTTTTCTGACATTTAGATCGAATAATTCATCAAATTCCTTACTTTGTCCAATATATTCATCTTTAGTTATTTATTCCTTCACATGAATCTTATCAGTAGCTTTTAAAGGCAAAGTGAGACTAATCTTTCCATCTGTTCCACTAGCTGCATTAAGTGATTCTAGTTCTTTATTTGATCCTAAGTTCATTCCTCCTATTTACAATTTAGCCCCAGATAATGGTTTAGAAGTTTGGTCTTAAACTAATGCTGTAATTATAAACTTGAATTAACCAGGATCTAAATTTATTGTTATTGGTAGTTCATATTTCTTTACACTAGGTTAAATATAGTTAAAATATTTACGGAGATAATGCAAATTCTTAAGCATTATGATTCATTTATAAAGTATTCCAATATTCATTTTTTGAAGCTGTGTACAAAATAATAAATGCAGGCTTTTAAGAGGGCAACAAAAATCTAACATACTATTCCCCTTTTTCATCAGTTGTTGCTTTGAAATTTATTTCTTTAGTTTTTTTATCTTCTGAGTAAATGGCTGTAAACTTTACATTTACACCAGGAAGAGGTTTAGAGTTTGATTGGGTTTTTAACTGAAATTAGATTTGATATTTACCATTATTAATCCTCGTTAAAACACATCTTGAACTTATACATCAGATTATGGGAATTGTAATTTGCCATTAAAAACAATTATGCTTTTTGAATCTCCAACCCCATCTATTTTACCTGATGTTGTAATGTCGTTAAAAGTAGTTGATGCAATTGCTGTAATTTAGTAAGAAGTTTGTTTTGTGATTTTTCCAGTAAATGTTACAATACCTGTTCCATCAGTCATTTGATCTTTCTCTCCAATAATATTATTAAGATTCCTAAATTGATAAATAGAAGTACTTAACATTAACAATCACTCCAGATAAAGCATAACCTGAAGAATCAATTACTTTAATTATAACTTAGTAATTGACTTCATCTAATTCGACTATTTGATTTCCAATATGCTTTTATAAAGTGACTAGAACTAAAAGGAGTACTAATAATAAAGATTTTAGCATATTTTGAATTTAACAATATAAATTAATTATAAATGTCCACTTCTGCAAACAAATCAAAAGCATTTGCTAAATTCAAAATTGTATTTATTGGCAATCAAGCTGTTGGTAAGACATCAATCATCGCTCGATTTGTATATGAACAAATTCCAGAATAACATCAAGTATCCATCAAATTGTGATAATAGCCAACAATTGGAATCGACTTTCTTTCGAAATGCATATAGGTAGACAATAAAACAGTAAGATTGTAATTATGGGATACTGCAGGTTAGGAACGTTTTAGATCATTGATTCCATCTTATATAAGAGATTCCCATGCAGCTGTTCTATGTTATGATGTATCAAGTATTATTTAAAATATAAATTTAAGATGCCTAATCATTTGCAGATATTAAATCTTGGCTAGATTATGTAAGAGAAGAAAGAGGATCTGATGTAGTGGGAGTGCTTATTGCTAATAAAATAGATATTACAGAAAGGTTTAGAAAAATTTTATTTAAGAGCTGTAACAACATAAGAAGGAGAGAAGTTTGCAAAAGAATAAGATTTACTTTACTATGAAGTTTCAGCTAAAGAGGGAACCAATGTATAATAAACATTTAAAAATCTTGCCTTGAAACTTTTAGAGCCAATTTAAAATGTTGAATAACCAACTACTGAATGTAAATAATAGTCTCATTTTAGTATAATAACCTGCCATTTCAATAAAACCACAAAATCAACAAACCCCATAATCAGATTAATAGAAATGTTAATGTTGATAATAAATGAAAAATAATTATTATTTTTATCAATAATCATTATCAACATTAAAAATAATAAAATAGCAAATAATTAAATATATATATAGGACTATCATGCATACACTTCAAACATTTGACACACATTTTGTCTGCATAGTAAGCATTTCATTTTTTATTCAACCAATTACTTACAAATCTCACAATAAATATAATGTCCACATGGAATAGCAACATATCTTCTTTTTTTTGCAAAACATATTTGACATTTCTCTCCTTCACAAATTTATTCTTAATTTAATTAATTATCATTTGTATATTCCTCGAAACTTTACTTACTCTCAATATTTTTATCTGTTAGCTTGATATCACTCAATTCTGAATCTTTACCAGCTGTTGGAGTTTCAAATTAATTCAAATTTTTTTCAGATTATTATTATATTTCTCCAATAAATTATAATGATTATTTTGATTTTCTTTAAGACTATTCATCTTTAATTAAACCATAATTCTAAATTTCATCAGGCAGCATTGTTGGTGTCTCAGCCTATTAATCGTCATTCTGAATCTTCAATTACTACATTTTCATAGTCACTCCTTAGTTATCATCTTCTGTCTTGTCAATCATCATAATTATTTTATTTTTCTTTTCGACAACTTAACATATGATCTTCGAAGAATCAACTATGAATTATTCATCAGAAGACTTAGTTCTTAATATTAAAAAATTTTCTTCTATTCTATTTAGATTCTTTAAATCTTTATGAATCTACTTTTCATTTTGATTATGGGCAGGCAATGGCTAAATTGTAGTTAACAAATACTTCAATCGAATTAATCACCGCTCTAATATTATCCAATATTCTCTATCTCTCTTCTGAAGTAAGATTTTATTTTCTTCTCTCTTCTTCGTAATTACAAATAGCAACTTCATATTATGCAATTGTCTCCTTCAAATTTTACTATGACTATGGTTGAGTAGTGAGTTACTGTTTTAGTTTATCTAATTTCATAATCATACTATTTATCTTTTCATTCACTTTCAAATTACTCTCAAGTTTCTTTATCAAATCACTCACCTTACCTTCCTAGCTCTCTTTATATGCTTTATGCTTTTTTTGTTTCATTATTTTGAAAATGAAAACTAATTAATATATTATTTTTCATTTATAATTAATTCTCATTGGGTAATATTTATTTTATAATTTATTATAAGTATTATTCCTCAATCGTTAATTTATATGGCTTTTGTATATTATTTATCAAAAGAGAACTTAAATATTATCCCTTTACTATTTCTAATGATTATTCAATTATTAAAATCTTGATATATATTAAATTCGAAACATTTAATAAGCTTTCTAAAAATCTATATTATTTAACATCTAAAAAATTTCAAAATCGATTCGGAATAATAAATACATTCATCAATTTGAGTATTTTTAATTTAATTTCTATCACTATTTAGTATTTGTCTTTAAGAATAATAATCATATTTCATTATAAATTTTTGAGCAAATTTTGATAACACAAAATTAATAAATCAAAAATTTATAATGAATAAATGATTATGTCAATTGTATAAATTACAAATAACTATTTAAATGATTGAAAAATCTTTCAAGTAATAAGGTATTTCTTCACTTTTTATTTGATAAAGATTAAAATATTTATTCAATTCCAATAAATCTTTGATAAAATTTCATAAATGAGGGAGTAATATCTTAAAAATAAAAAAAAAGAAAATGATTAAGATTAGATTATTGGAAAGACTGTTTCAACTTTTTCAATCTAAACATTATACAATAAAATACTATTTAAAATTCTATTCATTATAAAATCTAAATATATTCATAAGCAATATTCAGAGTTTTTTTTATATTAATCGGCCAATTATTTAAAATAATTATTTATATTTTGGTATTAAATATATTTTATATATTTAGAACAATGTTTTAACATATATATTTAAACATCAGTGTTATCATCTAATTATTAAAATTATATTAATTGTGATTATTCATTATAATCAATAAAATATTGATGAATATTGATATTTTTATAATTATATTAAAA